TCCAGTGGTTCTCTAACTGATGTCAGCTCATGATTAAATCCTCCATGCAATAAAATAGCGCTTCAGAAAAAATTTGTTAACTTCCCTTGCCAGAAACATGAAATATTCTATCTAGATATGAGAAAATATGAGCCCAACACGAGATACCACTACAGTTCCACAGACATTAAAACTACCTAAAATAGCGCTCACCAACCATGTACATGGTCCGGGGTTCGACTCCCGGCCACGGACGCACTCCTTAAATTCGCCTAGCTAGAAATAATGCTAGTAAAGAGGAAAGGTTGGGCATGAGGCCAGCAACCACATCCTGCAAAAATAAACACTGCTACAGAAACTTCAAGCCACTAGCTTGAAGCCCTATGTTCCACAGGAGAACGTGAAGGAAAAAATAATAGCACACAAAAAGACTCCTCTCATAGGAAAAGTTATTCTCAACCCAAGTTCAGTGTAGAATACTCCAGAGTGATAATCCACGAACGCCATAGAGCTTCAACACCACATCTCCTCCATTTCATCCTGCTTTCTTCAGTCGTCTTTAGATGGCTCCCTTGTCGCCCATAAGCTGTCATCCTCAGACAGACGGCGACATATGATTTACCGTTGATCTTTGGAACATCACTAGTGAAAAGCGACAATAAAGAAATATGATTTCTTGAAAGCTGTGATGTGTGATCAAAATGACAAATGATAAGTCATTATAGGACTGGACTGCCTATTGATGAGTTCAGGTCGTTTCTAAGTTAGACGGTTTTTCATATGAATAGTCACCTATCTGAGGTTAACAGGGCACCTAGTTCAAATAGTCTTAAAATGAACCTCTTTAAACGTCATACTATTGATTTTATTTAGTTCATGGCTCTATAAATACTCGAGTCGACTGTTGCAGTCCATACATTTTATTATTATTCTTTATTATTTTTGATTACAGCTTGATTCCACACTGTATTTTTGGTAGAAGTATGGAATTTTCAGCATGAATATCGGTAACCCAAACTTCGCAGGCTAACCATAAATATCAGGTGTGCGTCGTCAGGGGATCGAACCTCGGACCATGAGCATGGTCGGCGAGAGTCTTAACCACTGTGCCACCGACGCACATGGTCAAGCAGTCAACGAGGTTATCTGCTTTCGTTAAGTTATCTAGAATAATCTGGAATGTTCCTCTACCAGGCAGACTAACGCATCCAAATGCGCAAGCATTTTCTGGTTTACATCCAAGAAAGATTGCTCACCTGCTCAACATCACAGAGGTTTTCGATGGTAATTGAGACTGGTCGCAATGTGCAAAATAACCAAATCTGGTTTCGTATGGAGTTCATATATTTGCTATCAAATGTCGCTTACAAGACGGGTTAAATAAAAAAACTCTGAGTTCTTGGCCAGAAAATCTTTTACCTGTATTATAGGAGTGACTTTCGTGTTCGAGTCGTTTGGTGAGCAAGTTGAGGATGGTAATATGTAGTGTTTATCGAACTTCAGTTGGTATCTAAAACAATCATGTTTCGACAGACAAGCGTTTTAGAATTCTAGTTCATAATTTTGGAAGACTCTATGTCAGAAGTCAATGAGTGCACATCAGTTTCGACGTTTCAGCAACATATACTGTATATAAATGCAAGTTCTCATCCACCAAGTCCTCTAGCACTTATTCTGCTTGAACTGAAAACAGATTAATACCTGAAAAGCATCATCCAAAATACGAGATATATCTTGGGATCGAAATCGTCATGCGATGATGACTGCTTCTGTCTGTCTGGATTCAACATAGAACTTGTCACCGAAGTGCAGAAGTTCCAGTTGCCACGTTCCAAATATCACACAAAAGTAGACAAGAAGATGAGTGAAGAGAATCAATACAGTCTGACAAGTATAAGAGTGAAACAGAATGGGTAATGGTAGAAAGGAATATGAAAGATTACAGAGATTGAATACATCTGCGCCATTGACAACGATTTTGAGCCATGTCACCTATTGTCTCCAGCCATTGATTCCTAGAGTCCCGAGGGCCCCAACCCGGGAGTCTGCATCTCCCTACCTAACCGACTCAGTTTAACTGTCAAGGATTTCATCGGTTGATGCATGTTTTTGTTTGGCCACCACTGGCTCTTTTCCAATCTGAACCTATATCACCTAGCAATGCCCGTCGGGGGAGGCGGTGGTTAGGCATGCGCAGCACGTGACCTAGCCATCTTAGTCTATGTAACTTTATAGCCTCGTCGATTGATTTTCCCTCTTTGCCCAACACTCTACGCCTAACGTCAACATTACTTACCTTATTAAACCACCTAACGTGAGAAAGAGATCGCAGACATCTATGATCGAAAGCAGTCAACCTTTTCATGTCTTCAACTCGTATTGGCCATGTTTCAGAGGCATAGAGAAGGACGGAGCGAACTGATGAGCAGTACACACGTCCCCTGGTTGATAGCAAGATGTCACGCCTACGCGTCACGTCACCAAGTGTGATTTAAATCTTTTGAAACTTGATCGGTTCGATCGTTTGCATCTGGCTGATGTCCAACTAAATTCTCTATGCAATGCAGCCAAGAAACATAAAATGTCAGACAATTCCGGACGAAGCCGAAGCCGCAAAGCCAACAGGCAGACGAAGCGACAGACGTCAACAACAAGCTCAATGGTTCCAGATAAGCTACCCAAGAAAACACGCTACTAATCATCAATCTTCTCAAAAGGAGAGGTGACATGTACCCACATGATGTGTGTTTTGTTTTTGATAGTCTATTATATTTTGCTGTGCATATGGATCGATATTCCATTATAACTGACATTATGCTTTTGTCTTTCCACTAACTAAATAAACAATGTATGACCTTGTTATCACATGACATTACAACCAATCATGGTAAGACTGTCTATCTATTGGTTCATGTGTATTAGCCATTTCCATATATACTTTTGTATTAGACACTCGTTGTTCATTCTTGTGTTCTCACACATTTCGTACCTTGCGTACCATTTCACTCACACACTAGTGTGACATTTATTTTGCTAGTCTGGAAAATACAAGTATCATCGTAAATCTGGTGGTCTTCTGATTTCCCTCTTTCCGTGTCAGGACTATTAACCACTCGACGAGTACACAACATAATTGGCGACGGGGAAAAATCTAATAACTTACTCAGCAGCAGTACATAACCCTGCCTAATAGTCACTAATCTATCTATCTATCCATCAAACTCCAACTAATACTACTCGACACAACAGTTACTCCAAGGAGTGATATTCGATGTTGTGTTTCTGAATTGGTCTGTGAAACAACAGCAACTGACAGATCTCCTCTCTTCAGATAGTGAAATTCCACACAACGCGGATAACTACGCTCAGTTACTAGAGCAATATATCACCGAATTAGAAGCATAACACCTACACCACCACCTTTATGCCCCTCACTGCATATTACAAACTCCAACCTTTTCTCCGTCAGAAACGACGGTGTTCAGTGTCACTTATCACCACGTCGAGACGACTCATTCAGCTAGAAATGACAATTATCCCACCTAAAAGCGAATGAGCAAACTACACATGATCACTGATGTGAAAGTAAACTTGCATCACAGAAAATGATTTCCGACATCTCATCGAGACGACGTCCAAACCCCCTCCCCCAACAGATGACCTCCGAAACCTGTTAGGATAACTCCACGTGATAGGAGAGTGACGTCATCCGAACAGCTTTACGTCCACATACTTAAAAATTGAACAATTCTGATTTTCCCCTTCGAAATAACCACCTGATTGATCAGTTCTGTTGTCGTTTTAACTATCATCACCATTCACTTGACTTCTGAGTGGCACACAGAGGTCTTCGGCCGCGTCGAATCTCCATTTCACTCTGCTGTCTATCTCTTTGAAAGTCGGTCCTTACTTTGTCGTTTACTCCCTTCTTCGGTGATCTCTTTGATGTCAAAACCAGACGCACCACTTGGTGTCTCCCACTCAGACGGCCTGGTGCACCCTATCACTCAGGCTGGTTGTTACACTATATATATATATATATATATATATATATATATATATATATATATATATATATATATATATATATAATATGTGTGTTTGTTGACACGTCTGCTATATTTTGCTACGTATATATGGATCGATATTCCATTATAATTAGCCAATCATGTTAAGACTGTCTATTGATTGTTCACACACTTGTTCGGACATTCATATATATTTTTGCTCTCACACTCTTGTGTGATATTGATTTTCCTGGTGTTTGGAAAATAGAAGTATCATCGCAACCCAGTGGTCTCCTGATTTCCATCTTTCTTGTGTCAGGACTATTAAATTCTCGACCAGTACATAACAATAATTTGGCAACGAGTACATAACAGATCACCTCTCAAATTATCTATCACTATTATTACTATTAAAAGTAGTGTCGTCGCTACTGATATCATATTACAAGTAATCACTGTCCAACTGTTTCACACATCTCTCCACGTCGAACTCTATGCGCCAAATACTTTCTCAACCTTAGTGTTTTGTATTTGCGCGTACCAATTTTGTAATAAAAAAATATCCGAGTAGCAGAGTTGACAAAAAGTCAATTCCACATCCAGTCAGGTAGGAACAACATTTGCACTGGGGTATTGTGACAGTAGAAGATAAGAGACTTGGTAACGCTTTGTTGATACACCTTGTATGGAAATCGTCATGTGCACAGATCTTCTGTGTTGGTGTGCTACTACTTCTGCCCTTCATATTGTGTCCGTGGAATACTGGTTGGTTCCCTTCCTCTCTTTAGCGTTAAAATCCATCTCTCTATAGTTCGATATTTTTGTGCTGATCAACATCTCCTCATATACTACTGATAAATCCTGTCAGTAACACACACACACACACACCACACCCTGGCTTATTTGCATTTACACTAAGAAACAAAGGAATGTGCAGAGTATAACGCGCCAGCAACAACCACAACCACTGTTTGCGTATGTGTCCCAGTGAGTGAGCGTAACAGAAGACAAAACTGATTGGATAAAAGGTCTATTTCGTCCACCATCAAAATCACACCTCCATGAGTTCGTCATTAGAAAAAAGGAAACTAGCCAAGAAACAATTAGTTGTAAGAACACCGCACAAGCTTATGTGTTACATCGTAAGCGACAATTAATTCATGAACCGTGACAATCTTTTGAAATGGGAAGAGATACACATGGCGCCTATTCAGAAGCTTGTCTTACAATTTTCATCGAAAGAGGTAGTCAGCAGTGACACATATATCCACATAAGAAAACAACAAGTACATGTTTCACTCAGGTTATTTATTACTGTGAATGATGCTGTTGTGTACACACGATACAGTGAAAACACTCATCGTTATGGGAATGACAATAAGAAAATAAAAGTACCAGTACAAAATATTATTAGTAATGATAATGATGATAATAATCAAATCAACCGCTTGAAAGACTTCATAAGGATTTCAGTTGGTCCCTCCTTTAAATAATTATAAAAAACCAACACAGATATCACAGATAGGCTCTGGCGTTGTAATGGTCGTCAATATCTGGAGATTTCTTCAGAGAAAACTCGATCACCTACCAAAAAGAAAAGAGAAATGTGATGACGTAGAAAGCATTTAAAGTACAAACAAAGAAGACGCTAACACAGGTACACAATGCAATACAATACAATACAATACAAGATACACTCATTCCAGTCGCCGAATGTGACAATATCTGTGAGAAGGGTACGAAAGCCAAACAAAAGTTAGTCAGTCACGCACTTAACACTATTACCTAGGTGGCGTTAATGCATCGGTCGTGGAGTGGCAGAATTTTCTCCAACGATGCATACAGCCTAGGGATCAATCATTAGTTGATACCCGCTCTCGTAAGCCTGAGTCAGTTGCCAATCTATCGAAGAGGAAAGGTTCGGCGTCAGGCTAGTTACCTCCATCCCATGAAAATAAAATCACTACACTACTGAAACTCCAACCTTCTAGATTGTTCCACTGAGTGGGGACGCAAAGCAATCAAATAAAATAATAATACCTACATAATCTCATGCTTACACATGGAATAGGGTCACTTTGTTATTATTATTATTACTATTATTATTATGATTATTATTATTATATCCTTTAATTCGTAGAGGAGCATAGGGATTCAGCTGAGCATCTCCATTGCCTTCGGTTTTCTGCCAACTTTTTCACTTCGCTCTAAGTCTGTCCACATGCTTTCATCTCCTCTTCACATGACCTCCTCCAAGTCACCCCACCCTCTCACTGACGACCAACTCGCCGCCCGCTTCCCTTTCGGGCTCCACTCGAGCAATCGCGTGTCTAGTGATGTCACTTGATGGTTTGTTTTCTCAGAGTATGGCTAATCCATCTCCATTTCTTCCCGCCTATTTCTTTCACAATCGGTTCCTGATGGGTTGGTTCGCTCATTTCCAGAGATCCCTGTTACTGATCTTTTCTGGCCGGTCATCTGATCTTGAGTATTGAGCGAAGACAACTGTTAATGAAGGTCTGTAGTTTGTTTGAGATGCTCTTTATCACGCGCAGTGCAAGTCTCTGATCCGTACAGTGAGTAGCACTGACTTCACTGGTCACTTTAGTTTACTACATTTCAAGAGTTACTTCCCAGGGATTCCATTTCCTTCCAATTTCATCACGAACTGACAAATCAGTTAGAGAACCATTGAAACCAACCAGTATCGGACAGTGATTTCGTGTCCTAGTCCAGAACTAATCGGCAGTATCCACCCATCACCACCCTACACATGTAGGAGTAAAACTCAGTCAGCTACTTCGACAGGAATCCATCGAACAGTGCATAAATTCTAACTTCTGTCACTTTGTGATCTCAGCGAAATTCCCACCCAATCAAATTTCATTCAGTAGCCAGTGACGAGTGAGCATTTCGCGCCTAATATTCGCCAACGTAAGTCAGTCAAGTAATCACAGCTGAAATCACCACCACTCATCTTATTAGCACCCCGAGTGTTTCTATGCAAGTCAGTCTAACCTTTAATCAACCATCCAAATTTCAGAATAGCTTACACTATTAGGCTTTATCCATTCTCCTGATATGATAGTTAGCCAACACGGGATATTCTATCTTAAAGTGGCGCGACAACAAACTCAGAATATGCATAAATTCTCCAGCACTGAAATACTGCCGGAACCATAAAGCGCTTTACTAACCTCTTGCAGTTCTTCCCATTAATGAACTTCGTACAAAGCAGGCACATCTATTGTACCACGATAATGTGAGCTCATCTTTTATCATTTCGAAGATTTTTCTCAACTGGTTACAACCTGAACGATAAAAAATATGAATTACATCAAAGATTTGAGCACACTTTTCCACGACCACAAGGAGTAATTGGTAGGAAGTAAAAGTAACATTGGTCCGGAATGATTTAACTGATTAGGAGTTACAAACACTGACTATTTATAGAATAATTAGACAACTAGGCTTGGAAACGATATATATATATATATATATATATATATATATATATATATATATATATATATATATATATATATATATATGTCGAAACAAGGTTTAGCTAGAAAGCGCATAACAAAAAAGTAGATTACGTAACTCAAGACAGTGTTTTATCTAATAGCCGATAGAAAAAAGGAAAATAAAGAACAAGGTAGGGTGAGTCATGTTTAGGTGAGAGAGTAGAGCTTTATAAACATGAAAAAGGTGACTCATGAAAGTTGTTTATTTTTTTTGTTATCACTAGGGCAGTGCAAGATTCACCACTGACTCTTTCTGTGTACATAGATTTGGTTTAAGCTGTTTGATAGCAATTGCTCCAGCAAAGCGTAGCAAGCTAGGTTTCTTTTGGTTGTTGATTATTTTGAACGACACCAAGTTGTCTACAATATGACCAGTGTCCAGTAGATGACGCGCAGTCGCACTGTTTAATACTTGTGGACCTTTCAGTCTCAGGTTCTTTGGTATGTGTTCATAAATGTGGACAACCACCCTCCGCTGTGTCCTTCCAATGTATGTGCTTTGGTAGGTACATGTAAATTGGTAGACACAGTTGGAGGTAACATGAGGTGAGTATTTCTCCACTTTTGATTGCCTCAAACAACTAGTTGTTTGATAAACACATACAAACTTGGCGGCTGGATATGTTCTTTTCAGGGCAGTGTTCAATCTGCATCTTATTCTACTAGCAGTATCATCACCTTTGAATGTATGCAAGCTGCAGAAAGATAGGCTTTTCCTCTACTGTTCTGCTTTTCATTTTTCAAATATGACGTCTCGCGTAGACATTTCTCCACAATGGATATCTCTTCCTCAATGTTTTCTTCTGAACACAGCTTCCTTACACGATCAAATAATCCTCGAAATAAAAAAAGATGAGCTCACATTATTCTGCTACAATTGTCGCTCTTGCCTAGTTCAAATCGGTTTACTTTTTAGTACTTTAGTACTCAAATTTCAAAGGGTAAGTGATCTTGAGATGTGACTGCCACATATATTTGGTGTATGTGGGGCTGACTGTACAAGCCATTTAAACAGACTGGACAATAATACATATCAACATTGGTTATAGAGATCATTAGATACGGGAGAGCATTACTCCATAACCGTTTCCTTCTCAGTCGGGACTTTTCGACAGTGAAGTACTCACCCGTGACCCTGACTGTGGGGACCAGACTCAGGACCTACCTCCTTACGAAACCACGTCCTCTGACCATACAGCTACTTGGGTGGGGATTCATTAACCTGTAAATTGTAAGTCTGTTAAGGTATAGTGCTGTCGTCATGGTAGAGGTCTACCCCACTGGTCACGATTTCTCACAACCGACCTTCAGGACATTCGACACCCAGTAGCCAATAATCGCATAATCTACACAGAGGATGGTCAGGAGACTGTCGCCTAGGTTTATTTGTAACTGCTTTTATGTAAAAAAAAGATTTCGACAGTAGATAAATCCAATAACACAAAAAAGGGAAACTACGCGATTTGCAAATGGTACACTTACCTAGAATAGTTAAAAATATTTGTATTGGGAGCATACTCATAGCTTAATAAATCATAGACAGATGGACGTTGTTCATAGTCCCGGGATAAGCAATATCTTAACGCCTTTAAAGAAAGTAGTAAGGATAAAACGTTAAAGATGTAAGCAATTATGCATAAACCACATAGTGCATAATAACGCTTCTATGTAAGCTGAAGTATAAAAGAGGTGAAAAAGTTGATGCTTCTTATGCCAAATAATCACTGCAAGGTTGGTTCAAAGATGTCATCATGAGCTGACATCAGTCAGAGAACCATTGGAAAACCAACTGGAACTACTGGACAGTTGCACTGATGAAGAGTCCCAGACTGGCACGAAACAGCTATCCAGTACTTTCAGGTGGTTTTCCAATACTTCTCTAACTGATGTAAGCTCATGATGAAATCCTCCAACTAATCAAAGCAAATCCCCACAAAACTAATACTTCAAAATCACTTGAAGAGTAAAGCCGATGGATATGAGGGGGAAGAGGGGAGGGAGGCGACGGAGAAATGGAGTTTCAGCAACTTACAGAGATGTCTCTGCAACATACATAGAGTAAGTAGAAAAAAAACTTGACTCTCACAGATAATTACCCTTACAAATCGATCCGACAACAGATCACGGATGTGATTGATTTACTGCACACAATAAACGCAAAAAATGCTGTGTAGCTTTACTTCCTTGGAATACATACTTTAGTGTCCTTACTTAACTGACGACTGGTGTCCAGGTGTCACAAATTCGTACCACACAGTGTAAATACTTTATACTTCAATAAAACACAGTCAGTCAGACACACAGGAAGAAAGAAACACACACACATGTGCACACACCAAAGAAATATTTCTCGAGGAGGAGAAATAATTAAGAAATATGTATAAAATAAAAGGCAGATTCAGCGAAGAAATTTTCTTTATCGACAAAATCATCTTCAGAGGCTGTACAGTCGTATTTATACTTACAAAAATGTATACTAGTCTATTACTGAGTAATAGGGGGTGACATGATTGATATAATTACTCAGAAGTGGCTTTAGAAGTCAAAATTAAAAGTTGTAAATTACATGGTACTCAACGGAACAAAGATAGAAATTTGATAAGGTTAAAATTGCTATTGAGTGAGAATAAAGGTGGTAGTTATAATGTACTTGTCGCCACATTATTGTTATGTACTGGTCGAGAATTTAATAGTCCTGACGCAAGAAAGACGGAAATCAGAAGACCACTAGGTTTGCGATGATACCTCTATTTTCCAAACACAAGGAGAATCAATGTCACACAAGAGTGTGAGAGCAAAAATATAAGAATGTCCGAACAAGTGTGTGAACACAAGTGTGTGTGCGAATATTCAAAATGAACAAATCAATAGACAGTCTCAACATGATTGGCTAATTATAATGGAATATCGATCCATATATACATAGCAAAATATATCAGACTGTCAAACAAACACACATATTATATGGATACATATCACCAAGAACAGACTCAAACAAAACACACATATTATATGGATACATATCAGTAGTTGAGTGCCAATTTAACAAGTGTGAAGAGGATATGAAATGTACAGAAGGAGCTTATGAGAGTGATACTAGTGAATTAATTATTGAAGCAAAAGCAAACTAAAAGTAAAATTAAAAAGGACAGAAAAAATCAAATTTTTCTACAGGGAATGATTAGTGAAGAGGTTAAGACCAAGGTGGAATAGGAGACTGGACAAACTTTTTCTGTATACAGAGTTCAGGGTTGTATTGACGAATTGACAGCGCCTCCGCCATACATAAAAGCCGAAATCTGACGCCTTTTGTGTAATTTGGCTTCACTTTGTAGATGATGTTGAAAGACGACTCTGGTGGAGCTACGTGGCCTGAGTTCCCCAAATGCTCGAGAATTGAGCTAGTAATTGTCTTACATTGTCCTTTTGCTAACCATCCCGGATAATCTTCAGAGGTGCGTTTGGAAAACCTGCGCTTTGTTCGGCCAATATAACTAGCTCCACACGAGCAGGTGAATTCATAAAGACACATAGAACACTATATGTTGTTGTAAGTATAGATACGACTGTACAGCCTCCGAAGATGATTTCGTCGACAAAGAAAATTTCTTCGCTGAATCTGCCTTTTATTTTACTCATGACTCAATGGGTGATTTCGGTGATAACAAACATGTATCATTATATCACACAGAGGTCGCAAGAACCAACCTAGTCCTCGTAATCAATCAACAATGGACAAGTTTATTCGTTACCCACACATATACACACACAGTTCGCAAATTTGTTGTCTGACTAAAACTCAAATCAGAATACTGGTTTCACTGAAGAATAAATACACTAACGTTCAAAAATAAATATGTTCACACTTCTGATTTGTGGAATGGAACAGATGACGCGATTAGAATTCGAGAGAGCGACTGACTATGCATGCATGCTAGAGAGGCAACAAATGTCAGGGTTTGAATTAAGTATAAACTGCCGTTTGCACAGAATGACGATTATATCATTTTATATTTCACCTCTTTTATCCTCGGAGATTGTATTAACGTACTTGCAATAAAAGATTCGATTCAAGTATTGGTTTGTAGGAATTTGGTTGGTTACAGGGTTTCAACATGAGCTGAAAATGGTCAGATAACCATTGGAAAACCTGGGAGTACTGGACAGCTGTTTCGTCCTAGTTTGGGACTCTTCAGCAGTACGCACGCACCGCCAGCGTTCGAACCCAGGACCTTTGGTTACAAAGTGAGCTCGTAGACCATTAAGCCACTGGGACCCGATCCAATGGCCATTGCATGAATTCTAACTTCTGCCTATTCACAACATAGCAAAACCGCTGGCCAATGTCTTCGGTGAGTAATTGTCTTCACACCCGACCTGCTGCACCCTACTGGTCACGACTTCAAGGGCCATTGTATCGAGTCCTAGTGGCTCAAGGGTATATGAACTCTCCTTGTAACCAGAAGGTCCTGGGTTCGAATCCAGGTGGGTGCGTACTGATGAAGAGTCCCAAACTAGGACGAAACAGCTGTCTAGTACTCCCAGGTGAAAAGAAAATATTTGATTCTTTTGAAGTTTCAGTAGCAGTGGTGTTTTTTTTTACAGGGGTGGAGTTGCTATAGTCTCACACGCAACCACCTTCCCTCTTTGTCGAGATTATAACCGGCTAATGGAGGCAAAAGTGTGTGCCGATCGGGACTCAAACGCCGCCCCGACCACATGCATGGTTGTTGGTGACCAGTATTCTAACGCCACCAGTGAACCAACGACGCACGCAATACAAGAGAGTTAATAATAATAATAATCTGATAACCAAAGTTGGTGAGCGGAGAGGGTGGATAGTGAAGTTCAGATGGTAAGTAGAAGTGATTACGTCAACAAACACGATGAAGTAAATTGGAAGTCGATAAATAATGAGTTCAGGTCAGGCCAATTGAGTGAGTTGTTATTCAAATAAGTTATGATGACGCAATGCAGACATAGAAGTGAAGTTGACATATATAGATATCACAGAAGGAGAGGAGAAGAAATGTCAAGACTGAAGTCCATAACGCCTATGAAGAAACTAGTTTTTGTCTCGATTTTGTAGCATCACAGCTTATTTGGATAACAACTCACTCAATTGACCTGACCTGAACTCATTACTATCGACTTTCAATTTACTTCATCGTGTTTGTTGACGTAATCACTTCTACTGACCATCTCACCTTCACTATTCACCCTCTCTGCTCATCAACATCATTTCATCACATTATGTTTGAATAAACTTTGGTCATCAGATTATTATTATTATTACTATTATTACTGCTATTAACTCTCTTGTATTGTGTGCGTCAATTGGTTCAGTGGCGGTGGTAGAATGTTGGTCAACAACCATTCACATGTTATTGATATAGGTATAAAATTTGGGTACTGTGGTAGAGCATAACTTCATTAAAGATAAGATTGTATTTTGATAAGTCACACAGTGGTGTTATACAGTAATATTAACTGATGACCACGTTTCGAGCACAAATTATCACTGCTCATAATCATATTGTAACAACAGAAAACAAGGGCTAGACAACAGATCGTTTATTGAGGAAATCAACAAATATTTATAGATTTTCATGTACATATTATAGATATAGATTGTTAGCAGAAAAACACAGTCCTCTGATTGGTTGTTTCTCAATGAAAGTTGATCTTGCATCTCTTTGTGACTGTTTCTTGAATGTCAGATCATCTTTTATTATTATATCCTTTAATTCCTAGAGGAACATAGGGATTCAGCTGCGCATCTCCATTGCCTTCGGTTTTCTGCCAACTTTTTCACCCTGCTCAAAGTCTGCCTACACGCATTCATCTCCTCTTCACATGACCTCCTCCAAGTCACCCCACCCTCTCACTGACGACCAACTCGCCGCCCGCTTCCCTTTCGGGCTCCACTCGAGCAATCGCGTGTCTAGTGATGTCACTTGATGGTTTGTTTTCTCAGAGTATGGCTAATCCATCTCCATTTCTTCCCGCCTATTTCTTTCACAATCGGTTCCTGATGGGTTGGTTCGCTCATTCCCAGAGATCCCTGTTACTGATCTTTTCTGGCCGGTCATCTGATCTTGAGTATTGAGCGAAGACACCTGTTAATGAATGTCTGTAGTTTGTTTGAGATGCTCTTTATGACGCGCAGTGCAAGTCTCTGATCCGTATAGTGTGTAGCAATGACTTCACATTGGAGTTGAAAATCCGGATCTTATTTTTGATGCTGAGTGCTGTTGACTTATCTCCACAAAGACTTGGGAGTAGTGAAACCTTGTCTTTCTTTTCCGACTCTTGCTTTGATGTCCTCGTGAGTTCCGCCTGTAAATGAAACGATGCTTCCCAGGTAGGTAGGTAGGTAAAGGAGGTTGTTTCCTTCAGGTTCCTCCCATTTATGCTGGCTGATTGTTGTATGCTGTTGTTGCTATTTCTGTTGGCCAAGAATCTTCATCACCTCTGTTTTATCTATGTTCACTTGAAGTTCTATCTTTGAAGCTTCTTCTGCCAACTTGTTGCTTTTCACTTGCATATCTTCCAGTTTGTGGGAAATCAGACATATATCGTCGGCGAAGTCCAGATTCTCCAAGATCATCTATATTTTAACTGTATCCACCTACGCAAAGACTTTCTTCTCATTTTTCTCACGACCAATATTGGGGACGTAAACATTGACGTAAATTACTGTCCACCAATTTTGACTAACAGCCAGCTCTCAAAATAGTATAACTCCATTATAGATAAGATTTTATTTTGATAGATCACACAGTAGTGTTATACAGTAATATTAACTGATGACCACGTTTCGAGCACAATTTATTGCCACTCATAATCATATCAGGCTACTTGTACAACTTTTTCCTTTATTTATATACATGTGTGAAATTGATCAGATATTTGAATAAAAATCATATTAGTTAATATTACTTGTGTAACAGTGTGACTTATCTAAATAAAATTTATCTGATAATGGAACCATTCACGTGATCAGGCGTTCCAGTCTCGATCGGCACACGCGTTTACCTCCCTTAGCCGGTTATAATCTCGACAAAGAGGGAGACTATAGCAACCCCACCCCCGTAAAAAAATTTGGTATTTAGACGACAGTGAGTTGAGTTACAAGTGGAGCGAATGCTAACTTTGTTCAAATATTTATGTAAGTTGTATAAGTGAAACTTCTCAACACTATGCATCCACCATTTCAGAATATTATGTCGTCTTTCACCTTTCGAAACATGCTAAAATAATTTTTTTATAAGACAGGTGAATCAAAATCATACAATCTTACTCTGAACAAACTGTGCTCTCTACAACCAGAAGTGTCTTCAATCTCTCAAACCTACTCAGTCTTTTCGTCCTGTTGGTGTTCCCGATGTTATCCTTAAGAAGTGTGCCGACATCTTGTGTTCCGCTTTAACTGACATTTTCAACGAATCGTTTTCCAAAAGTATTATACCTGAATCATGGAAAAATATCAAGATCGTTCCAGTGCCTAAATCAACAAGTGGACCTAATGTTAAGTTTAGACCCATTGCTATTACCTCACCTTTTTTGAAAGTTATGGAAAGACTTATTTTACTTAATCTTGAACCCTCTTTAAAGCCTTTCAATGACCCCAACCAGTTTGCTTATAAACATAGTAGGAGTACGTTAGATGCCGCTGTTGTCCTACATCATAGTATTGTCTCTCTCTCTCTCTAGAAGCTAAATACGTTCGCTGTGCCTTCCTTGATTACACATCTGCATTTGACTCTGTTCCCAGGTCTCTCTTGCTAAGTAAGCTTGCTGCAACACAGGCTGAGAGCTGGACAAATAAGAGGCTACATTCCTATTTTTCTGATAGGAAGCAGTACACCGTCTACAATGGAAAGTCCTCCACTACCTCACTTACTTTAGCTGGTGTTCCTCAAGGTGCTGTTCTTTCTCCCTTTCTGTTTACTTCTTTTCTTACATGACTTGCCCCATTCTGATGTAGCCACTTTTGTTAAGTATGCTGATGACCTCTCTGTTTCTATGCCTGTCAACTCTCAGTCAGATTGTTCCAAATTAAATAACTTTCTGTCGGAAATTAGTCAGTGGTCCTCTTCAAACGGACTTAAGCTTAATCCGTCTAAATGTCAGGTAGTCAATTTCACTTTCAGACGTAAACGTGACCTACAACAACTAGTTAGCTCACATGGCCCCACTATCATTGACGGCACAGAGGTTGAAAATACATCTATCAAGTACCTTGGGCTGAGTTTTTCCACCGATCTTTCCTGGTCCTCCCACATCTTGCTAGTTACCAGAAAGATGTTTCGCTTAACGTTCTACATTAGGAAATTTAGGCAGTCTGGCATAAAGCAGTCTTTGCTTTCTCAGTTTGTAAATTCTTGTATTCTACCCATCCCCCTTTACTGCTCCCCATTAATCTTTCCTGGACTACTTAAGAAAGACTTTGCTTTGCTGAAAAGGGCACTAAAAGCCGTTAGTAGGGCAAGTGGGATATCGCTAAACCAACTGGTTAACACTATTGTGGATAGACATATTATATCATGTAAGAAACTAGCGAATACAATATTGTCAGACCCCGAGCATCCTCTCTATACGCAGCTCTCTCCTTGCATTTCATCTGGTAGAACTAGAAGCAGCTATAGGAGGCTATATGGTAGGAAGAACAAGTACAAAATCTCCACAATACCATATCTGGCACAGCTGTTATGTGATGAGAAATCCGTTGGGTATGACACGATCAACTTATTGCGGCACTCTAACAAATATTCCCATTAGTTTTTGTTTTCCTTTCCTCGTTACTATTACACTGTTGTTCTCATCCTCTATCACACATCAACTTTATATTTCATATCCTGTGGTGCATTGTTTGAAATGTAAACTCTACGCTGTTTTTTTTTAAATTTTTATTTATCTATTTTTTTGGCGTTGGTTTTTTTCATTTACTTATTTATTTATTTTTTGATTTTAAAAATCTTATAAAATTTATGAGGTAATTAGATGCAATATATTGTAATGCACGCTGAAAATTCCATACCTGTACCACAAATACCGTTTGGAATAAAGCTGTTAATATTATTATTACTATTATTTTTATTTTTTTCCTTCACGTTCCCCAATGGAACATAGGGCTTCAAGCTAGTCGCTTGAAGTTTCTGTAGCAACGGAATGGGGTTGCCCAACCTAAAGTGCTCACCTTCGCGTTCCAGGCGTTTTTTCAGGGTGATAATTGATGTCCTATCTGTCTCACAGACCGTCTCGCCTACACCTTGCTCCTTGCTTCCACTGGCTCGAATGAACTGGAACAGCTTCCGGCTATTGCCAAATGCAGTTGTTGATTGCAGCTCACACGCATGTTACACAAATATAATTTTTACAAATGTCTTCTTCTTACTTTGAATACAAATACACATTACACTTACTTTGTGAATCGAGCTATTTCTAATCATTGGAAAAGGAATTTCGTTATTCGGATCGAGAATTGCTTGGATACGTTCTTCTACAGACTCCTGTTGAAATGGTGCCTTCGCATAAACCATCAGATAGAGGATTACTCCCAACGACCAGACATCAGACTTCTTACCAATCTTTTAAAACAAAGAAAAGTGTACATGGAAAGTTGGAAAATTAAATAAATAAATAAGTAAAAGAAACGCTAACACATGCTAATAAGTTGCAAAGGAGTCACATGCCAGTTGAAAAATATCCTCACAAACAACAACCAGTTTATGAGTATGCAAACGCAAGACCAGGATAATGTTTCTCCACGTTATTCTTCGCGGATTAACGACCTTTTGAAGGAAAAACAGCAGATTAATTCATTGCTTTTCTTCAGTATACCTTAATTTGTTTACGAAGAAATCGATCGATGAGCTTGTGAAACTGCGTCGATTGTGGTGGCAAGGTCATGTGTTGCGAATTCCAAAACAACCATCGCCTTCCCCAGTGAATAAAGGTAGCTGACATACGTTTGGGTCGGAAGAGCGTGAGGGTGGTGTTTAACGGTTGGTTTGAGCCAGTCCCGAATTGTGGTGTAGACTGCTTGATTGGAATAGTTGGGATGCTAAGGACCAATTTTTTTTGACTTTTTTTATTACAGCTTGATTCCACACCGTATTTTTGGTACAAGTATGGAATTTTCAGCATGTGATATCGGTAGTCCAAATTTTGCAGGCCAACCATAGATATCAGGTGTGCGTCGGCAGGGGGTCGAACCTCGGGACATGTACATGGTCAGCGAGAGTCCTAACCACTGTGCCACCGACGCTAACATGCAAATAAGTTACAAAGGAGTCACATGCCAGTCAAAAAATTTCCAGTTTATGTGAGTGTGGAAACGCACAACTAGGACAATGTTCCTCCACGTCATCCATCTTCTGAAGGAAAACCAGAAGAATACTTCACCACTTTTCTTCAGTATACTTAAATTTGTTCGCGAAGAAATCGATTGATGAGCTTGTGAAGCTATATCGATTGTAGAATTCCGAAACAACCATTGCCTTCCTCGGTAAGCAATCTTAGCTGTCATATATCGTTGGGTTGGAAGAGAGTTTGGGGTGATCTTTGACAGATAGTTTGAGCCAGTCACAAAGTGTGGTGTAGACTGCCTCCTGGTTGGAGTCGTTGGGGTGCTAAGAACCAATGTCTGGAGACTATTGGTAATATTGTTTCAAAATCATCCTCAATCATGCAGATATATTCAGTCTTTGTGACTCCCCATCTCTCCATTATATCCTTATCATTTTCCATATTGCTGCTTTTTCTACCGTACAAATCGGCTCAATATAGTTCGTTCGAACTGCTTTCTCCTATCGTTGTTTGATGATGCATGCAGTCTGGCAACCTGACCATCTTGCACTTCTGTACAAAGTACTACGTTTTGAAGCTCAGTCGGTGGTCAATAGCAACTCTCGTGTCAACACATTATATGTGAAAAGAAGAGCTACATGGTTTAACTCCAGGAGTTAAAAAAAAACAAAGTGATAACGGTTGTCGTCACCACTTTCAGAAATCCACAGTATGCAAATATGTAACCGAAAAACAAATAGAACGTGCATACTCAACACCACCAAAAGCTTTCGTGCTCCGAAGTTTCATTGGATGTGTCTAGTCCTTTCTTTGGTATATATTGAATTCTATCGGTTAGGTTTACAATGTGGCCACCATTCTAGGTAGCTCGCCATCATGGTGCACATTGATTTGATGATATTAGATGGTTGGAGGCAATCGGCCATAGGAAGCCTTGCTTGACGAGTGCCAACTAGCATGAAACCTAGGTTCAAGGCTTCCTGCCGATTGCTTGTGTGCTATTTGGAACGTGGCAACTCGAACTGCTGCACTTCGGTGCCAAGTTCTATGTTGAATCCAGACAGACAGACAGACAGCCGACTGCCTTCAACCATCAAATATCATCATAACACTAACTAATGTCGCTTTTTCTTAACCCAACTTTTACACATGGGCATAGAAGTTTGTTTTCACATTATAATAAGTGCTTTCTCAACATCTTGAAAAGTGACCATCCAATGTCACAGTGTAGTGGGGATGCACAACTTAGGACTTTTATCTTATTCTTTGCAATGACAGTGGAACATAGATTTTCAGACTGCGAAGTTTGAGCAGTATTAATGTTAGTAATAGTACCAGTGGTGTTGTAATCCCCATGCCCACTCCCTCGCCCCCCACCCAACAAACCTCCTCTCTTTACCGAACCTACTAACAGCTGGTAAATAGGCCAGGTGAACGAGTGAGTGAATCAGATGGGAATTCAACCCAGATGTCCCTACTCCCTAATCTAGTTTCGTCAACCTAACCCCGATGCTTAGTGTATCATGACGTTATGTCATAACACATGAGTCCTTTATTTGCAGGTGCTCGACAGTTCAATAACTAACTATATGAGAACAATTTTTTAAGACGCCCAGCTTGCAACTTTAAGCAAATAAAAATAGCCTTTCCAGACAATCACAGCAGTAGGCATGGTTCTACGGGCTTCTTTGCATTCAACAGTAAGGCATACCTGAAATCTCATATGTGACAATGGTCACAAAACTGAACAAACTGACAAGACATTACACTGGCAAGCAAACAGCCACACACTAGTGAACTTACAACTTCTTTTCGATGCAAGACAAGTACATGTAAGGCTGAAACAAACTAGTTGATATACCTGACAGAATTCCTTCTTCTTTCCTGAAATTAATTTAATTTAATTAATTTTTCCTTCACGTTCCCAGTGGAACATAGGGCTCCAAGCTAGTGGCTTGAAGTTTCTGTAGCAGTGTTTAATTTTTACAGGATGGGGTTGCTAGCCTCATGCCCAACCTTTCCTCTTTACCAGCATTATTTCTGGCTCAGTGAGGTAAAGGAGTGCGCCGGCCGGGGATCGAACCCCGGACCATATGCATGGTCGGCGAGCGTCCTAACCGCTATACCACCGACGCTTTCCTGAAAACGAGATATTTAATCACATAATCTACTAACCATTCATATGTTCACTTCATACTGAAGTTCGCAATGAGGACGGTCTTCATAAAAGATAATTAACTAAGCCTGGCAACTAAATCACCCGCGGTTCAGGGAACCCAACCACATCAAAAGTATACACTTCAGCTGCAAATCTTCTCTACCATTACATGTATATCTGTAATTACATTATCTCAAGTGTTGAGCTATATTCACCGGTATTACAGTGTGGTGAGAGCTGGCTGCTAGCCAAAGTTGGTAGACAGTAATTTACGTCGATGTTTATGTCCCCAATATTGGTCGTGAGGAAAATGAGAACAAAGACTGATCCAACAACCAACCACATCACACTTTGCGTAGGCGGATACAGTTAGCATATAGATGATCTGACATTCAAGAAACAGCCACAAAGAGATGGAAGGTCAACTTTCTGTGAGAAACAACCAATCAGAGGAGTGTGTTTGTTTTCTTAAATAACCTATAATAATGTGCATGAAAATATATAAATATGTGCTGATTTCCTGAATATATGATATGTTGCCTGGCCCTTGTCTTTTGTTGTTACAACAATCGTAGGATGCTCTCCATCCAGGCCTGGGGTCGGTGATTCGATTTCCCGCCAGCATACTTCCCCACCTCCCCTCCACCTAGTTGACTGCCCGACAGTACGTCTGGGAAAGAGGAGAGTTTGGCAGTGAGCATAGCAAGACCCACCACGTAAAACTAACACCACAGTCACTGGAATATCTCAAGGCTTCAAGAAGTCTAAACACACCCAGCCCTATGTTCCAGCCAAAACTCACAGGAATGCAAAACAATTATTGATCTGTGGCTCATTTCTCCCAAGAACGTGGAGTAATCTATGCGTTGCACCGTCTCAAGAGAGAAAAATAAATTATTACCTCACTGTTATTAGCATAATGTTCAATATTTTCACAAAACAATATGATATGATAATCAAAAGTAAAACAAGAAATGAACACAGATGCATATTAAGGAATATATGAAAGGCCAAAAATGTGCATCACATGGTGCAACAAACCTTAGGTTGATCATCAGTAGTCTTTTTCTCCATTATAAAATGATAAAGTAGAAAATCTGTATTGTACTTCACCGGTCTTCTTAATCGTTCTGGACTCATAAACGATACAGTTCCCAAATTCACCCAATCGTCTGATATTACTGATTCCTTTGACAATTCATGACTAGTGCTAAAATCGATTAGTTTTAATCGGCGATTAACTAAAACAAAGTTTTGTGGCTTCAAGTCTAAATGAACAATTTCTAAAAAGTGTGAAATCAAAGCAAAAAAAATTAAAATTAAAGAAAATAAACAACAGGATCAGACATTAAAGGAAATTGTGAAAACCGAATCATCGGTCAAAAAGGCAAGCAGCAACTACACAACTTTAAGTCAACAGACAGACAAAAACACAGCTCCATTATGGGTAAATTTTGTTTTGATAAAGTCTCACTGTGGTGTTATACAGTAATGTTTACTGATGACCCCGTTTCGAGCACAATTTATTGCCACTCATAATCATATCAAGGTACTATTCACACAACTTCCTAACTCATTTATATAGTTCCACCAATATCCCCTATCGCAGCAGATATATTTATGGATAGCTAGGATAATATGGATCTTAATACATTTAATCCTACTCCAAACGCAATATGGTGGAGATATGTGGATGACACTTTCACAGTGTTAAAAACAGAAAATATCTCCAGCTTCTTGACACACACATAAACTCACTAGTGGAGGGAATAAAATTCACATTTGTAGCGGAAAATGAACAAGGAGAATTCACTATGATGTTAAATTGTAAAATAAAACGAATAGAAGAAGGTAAACTACACGCTACTGTTTATAGAGAAAACCAACCAACGAATTCTAATAGATATTCAGACCTCTTTAATTCATCTCATCTGTTAACTGTCTGTGAAGGCAGGTTTAGTTAAGTGTTCAAAAAACTGAGCAGTGGCACTAAGTGGCACAAGAAAAGACCTAAATGATGAACTAAAGCAGATAGAAGAGGCGTCGGTGTTAAATAACTAACTATCCTTTAAAATTCATTGGGAAGATCGAAAAAGGCCAAACGAAAAAGAGAAATAATTGTGAAACTAGTAACAATAACATAAATAAGAGAGAATATAAGACATCTACAGTTATGCCATATAAAGAGGGGACATCTGAAATCCTACGTAGGATTCTAAATAAAGTAGGAATAATTGATTTAATTAGTCATAAGTGGCTTTAGAAGTGAAAGTTAAAAGTCGTAAATTACATGGTACTCAACGGAAAAAAATAGAAGTTAGAAAAGGTTACATCCAATCTTGGACATGAAAAATTCCCCATATCATGCTACTGCGAAATGGCTAACAGAAATCCTCCTACCTATCAGAAATAACCTCTGCAAGCCTAGTGTTTCTGATTCGTTTGAATTCGTCGATTCAATAAATGATGCTAATGTATCCGGGAAGAAAATGATATCTATGGATGTTACTTCGCTTTTCACCAACGTTCCCCTCACTGAAACTATCTGCTTTATATGCAAATTCGTTGAGGATAATAATGTGGACGTATGTGTTCCGATCCACTACTTAGAGGAACTACTTTTGAGGTGCACTCCAAATGTCCAATTCAAGTTCAACAACACGATTTATAGACAAAAAGATGGAGTAGCAATGGGGTCACCATTGGGTCCTTTACTTGCAGACTGCTTCTTGGCCAGTTTGGAGAATAGCATTTTACGGCCTACTATCGACAGTTTCCATCTGTACCAAAGATACATGGATGATACTTTCATCATATGTGACGACAATACTGACATCGAATTGATAACTAAGGAGTTCAACAGCTGCCACCATGCCATCACATTCACGTAGGATTCAGAGATTAACTCGGAATTCCATTTTTTGGATGTTTTTATAAAGAGGAGATCGGATGGCTCTCTTCAAAGATCGATCTACAGGAAACCAACATGGAATGGTCAGTATACAAATTTCCATAGTTGGGTCCCTTTAAGAAGAAAGAGGAATCTGATCCATTCCTTATCCTCAAGAATAAGGAGGATATGTTCAAGTGATACAATCGATGGGAAACTGGAGCGACTCAGACAAGTCCTCATGGAGAATGGATATCCTCCAAGATTTATCGAGAAAAACATAAAGTTATGGGAAAAGCCTGAAAGAATCCAGACTGTGCCGAAGAAACTGCTCTTTATGAGTGTTGAATTTAAAGGTGATACTGTAGCTGAGATCTTGAAGAATCGCTTATGCAGATCACTGAGGAAAGCCTTCTATATGGCTGAGCTACGTATCAATTTCTACAGCCGATAAATGATCAACGGATGTGTGGAGGATAAACTGCCACTTTGGGCCACCTCAATGTGTGTTTATTAATTCACCTGCTCGTGTGGAGCTAGTTATATTGGCCGAACAAAGCACACGCTTTCTAAACGCATCTCTTAAGATTATCCGGGATGGTTAGCATAGGGACAATGTAAGACAATTACTAGCTCAATTCTCGAGCATTTGGGGAACTCAGGCCACGTAGCTCCACCAGAGTCGTCTTTCAATATCATCTACAAAGTGAAGCCAAATTATACAAAGGGCGTCAGGTTTCGGCTTTTGTGTATGGCGGAGGCGCTGTCAATTCGTCAATACAACCCTGAACTCTGTATACAGAAAAAGTTTGTCCAGTCTCCTATTCCACCTTGGTCTTAACCTCTTCACTAATCGTTCCCTGTAAAATATTTTTGATTTTTTCTGTTCTTTTTTAATTTTTAATTTTACTTTTAGTTTGCTTTTGCTTCAATAATTAATTCACTATTATCAATTTCATATGCTCCTTTTGTATATTTTCACACCCTCTTCACACTTGTTAAATTGACACTCAACTACCACGTTTATTCTCACTCAATAGCAATTTAAACCTTATCAAATTTCTATCTTTGTGCCGTTAAGTACCACGTAATTTACAACTTTTAATTTTGACTTCTGAAGCCACTTCTGAGTAATTATATCAATCATGTCACCCCCTATTACTCAATAATAGACCACTATATATTTTTGTAAGTATGAATACGACTGTACAGCCTCTGAAGATGATTTTGTCGATAAAGAAAATTTTCTTCGCTGAATCTGCCTTTTATTTTATACATATTTCTTAATTATTTCTCCTCCTCGAGAAATATCTCTTTGGGTGTGTGCACGTGTGTGTGTGTTTCTTTCTTCCTGTGTGTCTGACTGACTGTGTTTTATTGAAGTATAAAGTATTTACACTGTGTGGTACGAATTTGTGACACCTGGACGCCAGTTCCGTCAGTTAAGTAATAACAAATAACAGAAGGCAGTCGTAACAAAATGCTTCTTGTATGCTACACTTATCTATGTGAAATAAAATGACAGGAGATTAATGGTATCTATCACCTTGGAAACCAATTACACCAATGGTCAACAACCAACCAAATGACACGCGCTAAACTCAAACGAGAGTCGGCTAGTAGTAGATCAGTAGTAGCGCACGTTATCCGTGTTATCCAAATGCCTAGAGAACAACTACTCGTCATTTTTTCCTACTAAATGGAATTATCTGAAAGCTGCATAGAATCGGCCTGTCCATTAAATAAGACCGTCATGGAACATCACTACGTGTGTTAAGTTACCCCATTCATCATTTACACCTCATCAGTCTTCAACATGAAGACGGGTCACTAGAACTCTGATACAATTGAGAATAGAAGAAAACAAGCGCACATCATAATACTACCGCTGTTTTGCCTCTAGAACAATCGACAGTGATGTGCCATATTAGTTTGTTTATTAGATAAATTGCACAGTAAAACAGTAATATTTACTGGATGACAAGGTTCAGAAACACAGTTCATTGTTCATAATCATATCAATTATAATCACACAACTTCGAAACTTGACATTATTACAATATCCCACTGTGGTAATCTTCAACTATCTTCCCTTTTCTTATGATACCACCAGACATGGACAGAATATATCTTGATTATGCCAGCTGACATGACATGACGTGACATGTACTGAGTGACCGCAGAGTCCCACATTGCTGACGTGTCAGGCGTGCTAGATAGAAAAATCGTACTAGTAGGTTACTAGTATGCGAGTATAAAAAAGAAATCATGAAAAATGCATGACACACTAACCACCGCTCAGAGAAAACTAAATATTCAGTAACACTAAGAGGTTAACAAGCTTTTAAAACAATCCTGCCACAAATATGCAGTTGGTAGGATTAAAATGTCATGCTAAGGTTGAAGTTTCAACCCCCCCCCCCCACATCAGCTCCATGTTTTCATCACAGATCGAATCCAGTTAGGGAACCATTGGGAATCAGGGAGTACTCGACCCCAGCCTTGTCCTAGTTCCGTCCGCCCTTAGCAATGACCGGATCCAGAACCTTCGAGTGACAAGGTCAGAAGTCATGACCGGTGAGATTCAAACCAAGTTCACGGTGAGGACAAGTACTTGACAATGATATTGGGTGCCGGCAAAGCTGAAACTCATGAATCGATAAAAGTTAGAATTGATCGGCAATCGAACCCCAGCCCAATTGACTGAATGGTTGACGAGTTTGGCCTCGTAAGCTGAAATTCTTTGGTTCGATCCCTGAAGGTGCGTACTTATGACCAGTCGCAAACTAAGTGGATGAAACAGCTGTTCAATATACTTTCTGATCCTCCATGGTTGTTGTCGAACTGACAAAACTCCGTGATGAAAAATTGAACAAATCAAATCCCAAAAGAGAATTTTTCAATAGATTGTAAACAAACTTACCTAGATCATGAAGTTCATTCACACATCTTAACATCTGATCCCAGTAGAATATAACAGCTGTTGTCGGCATAGGGCGGATGTGTCTCGTTGAAGACGATACGCTATTTTCTTCAGAAGCATGTTGAATAATAATTTTACTCAGATCACATTCCCCTTTCTCCAATACCAAAATAATAAGCTCAGGTGTTTGTAGACTACAATTGAATAATAAAAATAACAAACAGTCGACATATTATTCGTGATAGGCATTTGGTGTAGAGTAAGTAGTTAAATGGTAAATTGAAAATTTTCACAGAAAGCTTAACAGCAGTCTCTCTCTCTCTCTCTCTTAGCGCTGAGATTAAAAATGAAGAGACTAATGAAATTTTAGTGTGTACTAAAAAACACCATTATTCCCTAAATCGCACTATACACACAACATGTCCGATCAATGGGAATGAGGCAGGTAGTCAACTCAGAAAGAAGTTCAATGTCTACACATCCGACTACCTCATAAACAACCAAGGACCACCGAAAGCAGGAAGAACTCGGTCTTCCACTCGGAATCCTCCCATATGACCAAGCGTTTACAACCTGTACGAAGAAAGCCCCATTCACTACCTCATAGAAATAAAAGGGCGAATGACAACGTCACTCACAACTGGACTGATAGATACCCTACTCTATCCAGAGAAGCTGGAGAACCCTGATTATCCTATGGTGTACATGAGCTCCAGAATAAGCAAGGAGCAAATGGACTATGAACCTCCTTCGTTCACCAAAAACCATAAGAACGTAGATCCTGACTCGACTTCACTGACTTGTGATGAATCAGACTTCAAATCAAAGGCTCAGGGGTGGTGTCTCAAGACAACCACAATGTGAACACCAATCCTGTGTTTTAACAGCATAACAACAATCGAAAACAGTCAGAAAGTGTAACACGTGTACAACGAACATGAAAGTTGGCAAAACTATATTTATGCACATCATAATATGTAGAACAAGGAAGTGAGTAGCTGAGTAAGCAAGTGAGTAAGTAGGTATGTAAGAATCCAAGTCCCATTCAAATTGACTTTCAGATACACCCACCTTGTACAAAACTGTAAAACAGTCCAATAACAAAACGAGTCGACAGGTACTACTTGATATCTACGCATATGTGTGATGCCACCCACATCTAAGCTAAATAGCCAGTATGAGGGATGCCTTCACAAGAACATGAACACATGTGGATCGTTTGTTGTCACAAAACGTGATGTGCAGTTTTATTCTTATAAACTTTTCTGTCTTCTCACCGCTACATTTCTACTCCATATGGCATTTGATCTGCCTCTTTCAGTTCTAACTGACTTCTAATTATTAGACTATTACTGTTATTCCGCCAGATTCTTAGTTGAACACAGGGTTTCAACATTCTCCTCTCTACAGTACTCATTAGCTGGCGCCACGATTCCCCATAGTCTCTCATCTTCTCCTCCTTACACGATCTCCTCAATTAAACCATAGACGACGACGCAAACTCCCTGTTTCCCGTTCGTTCACCTTCCTCTCGAGGGTTAGTCTGCTGTGTGATCACACTCATCGAGTGTCCGATTGTCACAATGCTGTTGAATGAGGTTGATAAAGATTTGTGGAACTCCGTTGTGTTGAGGCAGTTACCAATTTATTTCGTGCTCAACCCTGTCGAAGGCCTTTACAAAATTGATGAAGTTGAGGTTGGAGACTTACTTGACTGACACTCTGTGCTGTGCTCGATAATGATACGTGGCGTGGCGTGGCGTTGTGATTCAATCAACACATGATTTAGTCGCCCTGAATCCAGCCTGTACACTGTTGAGTTTTGCATCCACAGCATCTTAAAGTCTCTCCAGAACGACGCAAATCAATACTTTGTATGAAGTGGACATGAGTATGATACCCCACCAGCTTCTACAAAGGCTAAAATCTCCCTTCCTTGGCAGTCTAAAAAGGCAACTTTCCTTCCAATCACTACGTACGCTCCATTCCTTCCAAACTTTCTGAGTGTTTCGATTATATTCGTTGGGGTCTGAGTATTCATTGTCTATATCTCAAGAGGAATTACGTCAAGTTCGGTTGCCTTCAAAGCTTTCAGTAACTTAATGGCATTCACAACTGCTGCTTTTGTCGGAAGATTGGTTCTCACTGAGAGTTCAGTGGTGGCTGTTGGTGGTATTCCTGGTTGAGTTGAAGGTGGTGATCGATTCAAGAGTCCTTTCAAATAATCAGCCAAATGTTTCTTTTGCTTCTACTCTTTCGTGAGACGGTTCCCATCACCGTCTTTCATTAGTCTCTCTCCAGATAGCAACCTAGTTATATAGTCGTATAATGTTCTGAGGTCTTTCATACCTGCAGTCTATTTTGGCTTCTGTTTCCAGTGTGTCGTGGAATTGTCTTTTGTCTTATCTAACACTATTCTTCCTTTCTTTATTCAGTGTGTTGTATATTGCACTCAACTTCTCCTTACATTATTCATCTTTGAAGTGGTTCATCTTCTGGTTCAACATCCCTCTCCACTATCAGTTTTCACATGTTCGTAGAGACCCATTCTTACTGTCACTTCTTCTGACTCCCTAAAACAGCTAGCTGCACAGGTTCCCTTCAATGTCACTTTCAGAGAGTCCCAGTGATCACCCCCTCCCTTACCACAGGTTTCTTCAGTCATGCTACGCAGTGTCTCCGAATTTGCTCTGATGGCAGCAGAGAAGGTGTCCTTTGTAGTTTCATTCTTCACTTTTTGAGTGTTGAACTCCAATTATGGTCTACCTACAGCTTCTCTCTAACCTTGACGGTTCTTCGCAATAAACAGTAGTCTCAGCCCATATTTGCTTCTCTCCTCTATTTTGTGTTCAGCACACTGCATCTCCAGCACTGAGATGAAGTCCACCTGGAGAAACCCGAGTCACTTTGTTTATGCTCATGTGCTGCCCCTCCAATCGTCAAGTCATTGTAGGCACAGAGATCTCCAAAACGTTCTCCATTGTCATTCACTTCGACGAATGCATCCCCTTTTATATGACTGAATGAAGGATTTTTAAGCTATCCTTCCAACCAACAAGACTGACACGTAGTTGACTAATTTGTATATCAAAATCACGTCGACACAGTAAATCAGCACAAATTTACACAAGTTTTATACAAATTAGAAGCAGTAAACAGCCTCCACCACCTTCAAGTCACGAGGCCAAGCTTGTTGACCACTCACTCAGTCAGTCACTGGGACGGGATCCAATGGCACATAAATTTGTGACAGACAGAGCAACCAACAATGTTGCGACCAATGTCATCGGTGAGTACTTGTCCTCACACCCGTGTGAAGTGGTATAATAAGGTGAGCAATATTGAGGTTAGGCGTCGAGTTCTAGGTAAGGAGGGGAAATCAATCGACGAGGTCGTGAAATTATATAGACTGAGAAGGTTAGGACATGTGTTGCGTATGCCTAGTCATCGCCTTCCTCGACAATGGGCAATGTTAGCTGACATAGGGTCAGGCTGGAAAAAAGCTAGCGGCGGTCAAACAAAACACGGCACCAGTCAATGAAATCCACAACAGTTGGTCTAAGCCACGTAGGAAGGTGTAGACTTCCAGGCTGGGGTCCTCGGGACGGTAAAAATCAATGGTTGGAAACATTCGGTGACATGGCTCAAAATCGTTCTCAGTGGCTGGTGCAGATGCATCCAATCCTTGTGACTTATGATTTCCAATGAAACTGTTTTGTTCTTCATTACTACTATTCCTTTGTCTCACACCTCTGTTTACTGTCTCTATTATGCATTTCTTCTACTTTCTTCTCTTGCTTTGTGTACTACAAGGAGGAAGTGTGGCGACTTGAACTGGAGCACATATGTGCAAAGTTCTATGTCGAAAACAGACAAACAGACAGACACACCCGAGCTGATGGACACCACCAGTCACGACTACGCAGTGGAAGTCCAAGCAACCTCGTCCTTTACTCAGTCAGTCAGTCAGTAACTAGTGAGCATCAGATTAATTTTCAAGAGTTAGTTCACAGAGGTTTGATTTGTTTCAAGTCAGCTTATGAATGAATACCACTTACTAGGAGGATGTGGGCTACTACAATTTCGATATAACACTTAGTGACTGGCCATTGGAAGATGACAAATAACTAAAGATGTGCAGAGACATCGAAAAACATGCGATGGAAATCCATCAAGTCTGAGCCACACAAGAAGGCGTGAGTTTTTCATTCCAGTCGTGGTCTTCACGATACTGATGGTTTTCACTTTTCACTGGTCTGTTAGGCTTCATTATCACACAAAGACTAAATATAGCCTCTGTGTTTCCATTAGGGCATTACTTTGATCTCTCTCTCTCGCGCGCGCCCTTCGATATCTTGTTCAAGTGTGCCGATTCGAAGAGTGTGACAATAAAGAAGCAATGCACTCAATAGTACAACACCCTGAACTCAATACAACTGTGGATTTGCAGTAAAACACATGGGGAAGAAACAAACTGAAGTTATACGCAATGAACATGAAATTATAACTATAATAAGAGAATAATAACGTTAAAGATGTTCAGAGACGAAGTTAAATTTGTCCCGAAGTGCTTCTCTCTCTCCTTCTCCCACCCACTCCTCGTCCTCTTTAGTAAGGGAAGTAAAAACTCTCAATACTTACTATGTTCTCAATCGAATAATCCTATCGCTTTTCTGAAAACGTTTGAGCATTTCAATCTCGTGTAGGTAGGAGGTGACACACTCCTTCGAAATACCACGCTTCAATGTGACTACTTTAATCGCCCAAGGATTGAAACTGCCATCCAAAGCTGAATACACCTGAAGAAGGAAAATATTTGCGTTAAGAAGAAGAAGGCGATTCAATTCAATTCAATTCAAGCAGGTGAGTAAGTAAGTATTTTTGTTCAACGATGAAGACCATCGGAATTTCATCACCATTTCGCAATAAATAACACAGTTAAACCTAACGAGAAAATCATGACGATAGCAGTGCTTTAATTCAATGAGATCAGTAGACAAACTTTGATCACAAATGAATACAAGTTAAGTAATCACTTCAAAGGGACTCTTGAATCAACCATCACCTGCAACTCGTCCAGAAATACCACCAAAGGCCGTCACCAGCACCACCACTACAGAACTACCAGTGAACACACCAGTGTCTTCCGACAAGAGTAGAAGTCTTGAATGTTATAAAGCTACAGAGAACAAAACAGAAATTCCAAAGAGATTCATCCTACCAACGACTTTCATCAACAACCGCCTTCACTTCATACTGTAGTTTAGATTGTCAACCGGAAAGGATAAGCAACAAGGAACTCGGACTGTTACAACGAACCAACCAATCAACACAAATATCACGGAAGGAAATGCACACCAATTCGAAATGCACAGAGGAGACAGGTGAACAACATCGTCCCAAGCTGGTTTTCGAGTAGAACTTGAATGGGAGACGAATAGTTGGGGTCACCCTAGTCGGTCCAAGGGTGATATCTTGGAGATCATGTGTGAAGAGAAAAGGGAAGTTTATGTGAGTAATCGTGGAACCAGCCGAAAAGGAGATCGCAGATGTGCTTCTAAAGCCCGATTTTCCATATGGAACTCAAGGCAACAGTAATAATAATAGTAATCAACATTGCTATAATAGTAATCAGTATAAGATAAACATTTGTTAGACTAGCTGATTCGGGTGATTGGCAGGAAACCCTGTCTAGGCGCCTAGGCGACGTGCTTGTTGGCAGGCACTCATTCACCAGTCGTCAGTAAGGTGTATCTTCAATCCTGAAGGAACTCATCTCCTCTCTTTCTGGGATACCATCATCGCTTTTACTACCCTTAAGTCTATGTGGAGGTCAACATCACTCAGCATTAAACATAAGATCCAGATCTTCAACTCCGATGTGAAGTCAGTGCTACTCACTGTACGGATCAGAGACTTGCACTGCGTGTCATAAAGAGCATCTCAAACAAACTTCTGACCTTCATTAACAGTTGTCTTCGCTCAATACTCAAGATCAGATGACCGGCCAGAGAAGATCAGTAACAGGGATCTCTGGCAATGAGCGAATCAACCCATCAGGAACCGATTGTGAAACAACAGACAGGAAGAAATGGAGATGGATTGGCCATACACTGAGGAAACCAGCAAGTGACATCACTAAACAAGCCAACGCTCTATTGGGACCAGAAAGGGAAGCGGCGAGTTGGTCGTCCAAGGTAACTTGGAGGAGGTCATGTGAGGAGGAGATGAGAGCATATGGGCAGACTTGGGGTGGGTTGAAAAAGTTGGCAGAAAACAGAAGGCAATGGAGACGCGCAGCTGAAGACCTATGTTCCTCTAGGAATTAAAGGATATAATAATAATAATAATATCATTAATGACTTGTACATGAAACGCAAGCACCTAAAACAACAAAGTCATTCAATACAAGCTCGCTACTAAATCAGAAGAAATTATTAACACGGAGCATAATGTCTAGGGGAGAAACACACAACACTAAGTCACCATGATACCTATAACACATTGAATCCCATACATGTTAGACAACCAGACTCAGATGAGCACGATACACAAAAAGGTGAAGTATTCATCAAAGCGATGTGCACAAGCAGAAAACTACTTACCACAGATGAACCGCCTTCACCTAATCTACCAATTATTCGATAGAATTCACTTCCAACCATGACTTCATTCTTTTCCGCATCTTCTAAGTCGGTTTGTACACCCACAGAATGGTGTTGTGCCCCACTTCCAAATCCATCCTAAACAGCAGAATGAAATGATGAATACATATTATCACTGACGACAAAGTCAGCACAAGTGTGCTATCTCTCTTCAGAAAAGATAACATGAAAATCACTGATAATAACCAAAAGGGAATCAATCAATTAATGATAAGTGGTATTTTCGTCAATTTGCAATTAGGATAGGATAGGATAGGATAGCATATCAACCACTTGACATACCTTAGAGGATGTCCAGAAATTAGATAAATAATACTCACACCTGACTCGAAATTAGTAATACTGTGTGTAACTCTTAAATCTCCTGATGATTAGTATCTAGGCAGAGGGGAGATACGCCTAACAAGAAGTCGATCACTTCCCCTACCCCCACATTCTCTTGTTTACTAGGATGATGAAAATTCACAGACTTATGTGTAGCAGTGATAACTGAAGCAATCTCTGAGAAACATGGCACCATAATTAGGTCTCAGGTTAGACAACTGAAAAGTTGGAAAGAACACTTTGAGGAGCAATTTAATCGACCTACAGTCACGCTCAAATTAACCAGCATCCAACACCTCCCTGAATGGGATATAATCACACAGGTCCTCCGTCCATAACTGAGGTTACAAAAGTTTTCAATAGTCTGAAAGGAGGCACAGCAGAGGGACCTGATGGAATAACTCCAGAAGTGTTCAAGGACGGTGGAGAGAGTTCAATGTCTGCGTATTAGGCAGCGTCTGGGAATCTGACATAGTCCCGTCGGGCTGGTGTAAATCATTGATTACACCGATATACAAGAAGGGAGACACGTCTTCCTGTGATAATCACATGGGGATTAGCTGGACTAATATCGTATCTAAACTTCTAGGCTCAATAATCATGCGTGGACTAAGATGTATTCAGAAGGGAAAATCACGAAACAACCAGGTAGGCTTTAGACCAGGAAGAGAGTGTATCCATCATATCTTCTCCCTTCAACAGATTATGGAACATACGCATACTTATCGGTGTCCAACAGCCGTTATATCTTCCTGACCTAAATACGGTATTCGATTCTGTCGACCGAGAGGTACTCTGGAGATGCTTGGCTGTAAAAGGAATGCCGAGAAAACATATCACACTAATCAAGGCACTTTACTCGTACTCATGCAGTCAGTTAATTGAGAGTCTACGGAGAGTTATGATCTGAGGTGGTGACAAACACTAGCAAAAATACTAGTATTCCACCGTAATAATGGAAGATATCTGAAACTATCTGTGTAATTTCTACGAAAAGAACAACTAGGTCCCACCAACTGAGTATTACCGAAGAGTTAATATGTATATGGCCGATATGTAGAACAACCACCGGCCAATACCAAAAGGGATTATTTGACCTCACATTCGAATTGGTGGACTCCGCTGGTTACTCCCTCCCACTACTTTCCTAATGAATAACGAATTCACATGTTAACCTGAAGGTTCACGACTTCGTTCCTCCTCAGTAGGACCATGAGTGCCGACTCTACTTAGGAGAGTTCCAGAACTAGGATGAAACACCTGTCCAGTAATCTCTACCTGTTTTCAATGGTTATCTTCAACTGACATCACTTCGTGAGTTTGTATTTTATTTGTTTATATCGTAAAAATTCTACGGAAAACTGTTTAGAAAACAGAAAGATTGAGCGAAGAAATATTTACTTTTCGATTAGATCCTCATCTTTGGCTCTACTCTAATATACACACATGTATAGCATTTTAATTACAATACAACAGTTTGCCAATCAAGTGGCGATAAGGCTTTCAATTTGGTGAGTTTATGTGGCTATAACTGTCAAGAGCAGGTGAGAAAATATTAGCAGTGTAAGAAATCATATTATTATTATTATTATTATACAATTATTTCACTATACCCATTTGCAAATGTAACCGTAGCCCACCGGTTTAGGTGCTCAACTTCCAACCACAGTTGGTCGAGGGGTTTGAGCCCCGTTGCACCCACCTACCGCAGTTTATGACTCATAGCCAATTGCATCGAAGTGCAAGTGGATGTTGTGTCGCTATGTATTTCATCATTTTGAGTATTTCCATCTATCAACTCATGGTTCAAGTTCTTACTTATTGGATTTCATCATCATGAGCTGATGACATCGATTAGAGAACCATCTGGGCGTACTGGACATCTATTTCTGTCCTCCTAGTTCAGGACACCTCATCAGTACGCACCCATCGCCAAGGTTCGAACCCAGCACCCTCCAGTTATACAAGGTGAGTGAATTCATTGACCATCACAAACCACTGGGACACGATTCAATCGCCACCACATGAATTCCAACTTCCTACTCATTGTCGTACGATTTAACAGTCAGTGAAATAAAAAGTTTATGTATGAAGTTATCTCATTCATTGGCATTCTCAAAATACAAGTTCTTTCTTTATTATTCACAGGCGTGTAGAAGCTCATTCATCATTATTCATAAACAATGGTGATTACATCAGCCTAGTTTTTATTGGATTAAAAAATTGTGCAATATGCTGACTGATCACAAAAAGGAAGTTCCCCCAAAACCATGTTATATTGGGAATCCAATTATTAGGAATATTATATGATCAGGACATAACAAAAATCAATTCAAGACAATTCAACTCAACTTACGCAACCACGGAGAGGTGAACGTTCATCAAATTCCACAGACACTGAAACAGTGGACGAAGAACACGGTTCAAAAGACGAATTTCGTCCCGGATTTTCGGCTAAGGTATAAATAAATCTTTTATATTAATGTATATTATTAGAGTACATTAAAAATGTGCTTATTATTTATTTTGTTGCCTTACGTTCCCAGTGGAACACACGGCTTCAAGCTAGAACCTAGAAGATTCGGTAGCAGTGGTTTTTATTTTATTTTGATGGTTGGGGTTGACAGCGTCATACTCAACATTCCCTCTTAACCGGCCTAACTACCTGACTAACAAGGTTTGGGAGTTCGTCAGCCAAGGGATCGATCCTCGGACCACGTGAGTGGTTGGTGAATGTTCTACCAATGAAACACCGATGCACTGCAAATGTACCTAGAAATACATAAGTATATATGTATATACATCTATATATAGACACTTATGAAACCAAAGTATCATTCATACAATTAAAGAAATGTGACAGGCGACTCAACGAACTCAATTTTCTGTCCTCGGGTAAATGAAGGTGTAGTAAAAGTCATCAACAGTTCGACCCTAACTCATCATAAGGCTGGTTAGTACTGGACAATCTTCCCTCTATCATCTATCCACGACCGAATAAATTACTGACGGCCTCTCAATATCAAATACTCGAAACAACAAAAGCTTATGGCTATTCGCTTACACTAATCGGAGCTCTGTGTGGAAAACGAACGTGAATGGCAAAGAATTTACTATATTGATGTTAGATGTTTGATGGTAATTGGCAGGAAACCGTCTACATAGGATTCGTGCTTACCAGAACTCATCAGTAAGCACGATACAGGGCGTCCCGCTGGTTACCGACCATCTATCATGATCTCAGAGTGCATAATAATGGTGAGCCACCTACCTTGGTGACCACATTGGAAACTTCACTAACAGAATTTAGTCACCAAGCACCACACCAAGGACGAGATTCACTACCTCGGGACTCCATCAAATATAACTTCAAATCGATGGTGAATAATAGGCTGAAATCTCCGATTTTGCATCAAACTCTGAACGTGATATAAAGTGACAAACACTCGTTTCCATGTCCCCTAAATAACTGAGCTTACGTGCTTTTATGGTCAATAATTTGATTTTTTGTTCCAAATTATTCTGTCAGATGCATTTTGTGGTGTAAAACCACACGGAGTTCTCCTACAAGCACTGGAAATGCGCCAAGACACCTCAGAGAACACCACTGACGCCACTACTGCAGAAGACTTCGAAGGAAGCAAAGGCGTCTACTGACTAGAATTTGTTCTACCTTGTTAAACAATCAAAAAATGGAGACTTGAGGCCTTAAAAGAACTATCGCGGAATCACGCTCCTATCTAATCCAAACAAAATATCAAATTATGTCATCCTGAGGAGATTCTACAAGATGCTATGAATACAAAACTCCATGCGGAACAAACTGGATGGAGAAAGATCAAATCATGTGCGCATCAAATCACACCGCTATGCATCATCATCAAACACCACCACTATCAATGAATACGCTGCAATAGTGGCAGTCAAATCTCTACCTCAACTTCATCGACTTTAATAAGGCCCTCAACAGCGTTGACAGCGGAGGGATGTTCGGAATCTGCTTCAACACTACGGAATGCAGTGTTGTGAACATCTTTTAACCTCATAGAACAGCTATATGAGGATGATACATGTCAAGTGATTCACAACAGCAGGCTCAGCGAAACCTTCGAAGTGAACACTAGAGTAAGACAAGACCGATGAGAAGACTTCGGAAGACATGGACACCACACATGTCGTATGTTAAAAAAAACTAGATAATCTATGGGTGAAAACCAACAACTTGGCAGAAAAGGCAGTAAAGACAGGATTTTATGTCTACACTAGGGAGACAGAGGTCATGAAGGTATCGATCCAACAACAAACTCTAATCACCATCAACGACAGCAATTTGAAGCAGTTACCTTCTCTGACTCACTTCCCTAGCTAGAATAGACGACACAGATGAGAATGTCAGAAGCAGGAGCTGAAAGGCAAGACAAACCGCTCATTACTCTGAAATCTGTGTGGAAACCTACTATATTCAGCACAACCAACAAGATCCGGATATTCAACACTGATGTCAAGTCAGTCAGCACTTCTATATGATTCAGAGACACGACATTGCTCAAGAAGCACTTCCCAACCGACTTTCGATCAACAGCTGTATTCGCTAGCTCACTATTGAAGGTAGAATGGACAGAGAGCATAAAGAACTGTGGCAAAGAAGCAGCCAACAAACCCCTTGCCCAACACGAAAATATGCTGAAGGGAAATGAGATAGATTGGACCTGCACCGCACCAGTTCAACCATCGGATGGAACCCGAATGGACAAAAACAACTTCGACGTCCGAAAGTAACACGGAGGAGGTCACGCGTCAGAAGGAAATGAGAGTTTGTGAGAAATCGTGAGGCCAGTTAGTAAGGACTTCAGACGGCCCTGGATGAAATCAAAATTTCCATCTGAGGCCGAGAATTCCACATGGAACCAAGGGGAACAATAATAATATAATAAATCTCTTGGTATCAGGTCCGCTGTCATATATGTGTGATTGTAATGAGATTCCTTCAGAAAAATACAAAACAATCGCAAATATTTCTGAGTAAATCTTCTAGTGGAAAATACTGTACACATACTGAAAAGACAATTTACCTGAATCTTGCATATCAGTTTGAATGAGCTCTGGTGGAACGTAAAGTGATGTACAGTTCGTTGAATCCTATACAAAAGTGAAAGAAAAAGAAACAATTAATGTAGTGCTATGTAGGGACTTCTTATGTCAACTATTATACCACATTAACAGTGATTTTTGTGGAATGGAATGTGGCGACTTGAACTTCCGCACATTTGTGCAAAGTCCTATGTCGAAAACAGACAGACAGACAGACATTAACAGTACGAGTTTGCAGTGGCACCATTCACAAGATATCCGAAAACGCAAACACACACACTGACAGTACATTCTCATTGTGACAAAGTGAATGTTTCTAAAGATGTGTCAATAAAATTTTAAGTATTTAGATGGCCACTACGCGCATAAAATAGTGCTTCACGTCCCCCCTATTTCCCACGGAAATGTCCATCTCATTCTGTCATCTGTTGACAAGTGTATGGTGACTAGTAGAGATAGGGAGTGTTGTGTCGACACGATGCCTAGGCTTGCTTATGTTAATGCTGGTTAGGAGGACAGTTCCACCTACCTACCTACTTACCAGACGGATAGGTAATGGTAAGGCTGACACTAACTATCCGATCAATGAAACAGTGAATTGGGGTTCTCAAACTGTACTGTTGTTTGGATAGGGTAGATGGCGGTCAACGGTTATCTATCACGAGTAGTCCACTCATGTTTTCTTCCAACGAACAATTTCACAACTCATCTTTTCTTCACTAACACCTATCAAAAATTGGCAGGAAAGTTAAAGTCAGCTCAACAAGACTTTCAGTCCCTTAAGATGACACTGCCAACTTTAAAGTTCCAACTTTACAACAAATCGGGAACCACGAGTTAAGCCGAAACTTCGATGCTTAGGACTGTGGATTCCATGTTGTATGTAGTCATTCACTTTACGTCATCTAACACGATGCAGCCAGACAGTTAGTTTCCGTAGTCTTGGGGTAGACACAATGTTAAGCTCTACAAATGAAGTCCACTGCTTGACTGAATCCCAGTTGGCCAGAATAAATCATACTCATCGTACATTCTGTACCTGCAATCTTCGGGTGAAATTTAGAAGAAGTGAAAATCAAACTCCAAGACAATCGATTGACGGAAGATAACCGTTAGTTTTAACCTACTCACATCTTTACAATTGAACATCTGCATTAAAGTGAGATGATTGGATCCAGAAAACAATCAACTAGACAATCCTTGACATCTTCAGTCCACACATGTCAGTCTACAGTGTATTTTGGAAACACTTGGTGCCATGTTCACTTAGCACAGAGATAATTTCCCTTGTGGTAATAACAACAGAATTCATTCGACCAATACGGTCCAAAGATACTAATGTCCACGGACGTGTGTTTGCCTGACAGATTGGTGTGGGACAGGTGTGCATCAATTGAATGTAACTGCATACCTCAACATGAGGTAGTTAATTCACAACATAACAAGTATTTAATTCTGTTAGAAAGACAGGCAGACAGACAGACGGACGGATAAAACACAATGTCCACTGACAACTGTAAGTGATTCGCCACTGATAATCATCCCGCTTTTCCACAGGACAGTGCTTAGATTATCAGTCTGTATCTTGACTTCAATGCAAAGAAAAACAACAAAAGCACCAGCTTGAGTTTATTCAGTGTACACGTAGAAGTCTTATTTGACTATTACCGTGTTATTTATCGAGTGAGTGGGTCATTGGTTACAGCATTCGATTTCTATCCAAAAGGTCGAGAGTTCGAACCCCCCTCCGTCTAATTCGCAGCTTGGGAAAGTAGCTAGATAGTATTGCCATCAACTCATAAGAAATAAGTGCGGCTGGTAGCTCTCAACCGGTCAACTGAATTCCAACTGATTATTCTATGTCTATTAAGCATCAACATCCATCATCACCCTCAGCACAATTATACTTCTAGGAAAATTGAATGTACACACGACAAAAGATACGGTGGTGGGTTCCTCCTCCACAATACGACGACTAGTACAGTCCTTCAACAAAAATAAAACCAACAAATCGGTCAAGTAAATTCTTCACTGTTTACTTACCTTGAATTCACTGATCAGCATTTTTCGATCCATTTCCGCAGTCAGACGAACAATTGATGCATTTTCACTGTTTCGAAAAATAGAGGGGAAATAAAACAGTTAGTGCAACGACTACTTTTCTTCATGTCTCTATTGCGGAATACATTGACGCATCCAATCAGCTAAGACACACCACACACACACACATACCTCACCTCAATCTACAGTAAATTCAGTAGAACAGTCACTTCACCATTACTACTCATCACTCATCATCTACACACTTCACAAGGTTGAAGTAGGCCACAGACAAAGGAGAACTGAAATGGACACTAGTGAAAATCAGGTGGGTGAACACAACAGAAAATTTCGAGAATCCCACAGATCGACAGTCTTTTCAGATCGCTGAACAAACTCTATACACAAATATCTTCCCTAGTAAGTGCAATATTCAACCTGACGGATATGAAGAATGATTTCGCTTGCGTTACCCACTCACACCACCTAACCTATCACCACCTGACTTCATGAACCACTGCTGCTATGGATTCAACTTAGACATTTTTTGACTTTTTCAAAGTCTATTTCTACTTCACAGATCCAAGTGTAATGCCTCATATTGTCGGTAGGCACACGCAATAGTGGATCATTCGTCAGAGGGGGAGATTTGAAAATATACATCAACCAGCGTACTTTACTGATAGTATACTCTACAGTCAGCCTCTGAAGACTGTGTGCAATTAATTGCACAATTAAAAGTTCTACACAAGAAAAGCACCCCTACTGACTGACTGATTGGTGAATAGGAATGTAACAGCAGTGATTTATTCCCCTCAGATAACTAGTGCGCGACGAGCTATGATTTCTCTCCGCTCTGGCCTTTCGGCGGTGGTCTAATGACGGCAGTAAGATCGTCATGTGGACACAACTCTAAAAGCCAACTTAAACAGGACACAAGTGACTCGCCTCAACCAGTTATCCCCTCGACTCTGGGGTCACACAACACTAATGATCCTTCTGTGTCGTGTACACCAAGAAGAAATCAACTTCAGTCGTGTCAGCAACCAGGAAATGACATCCGCCCACACACTTCCAACAGGACATAAAACTTGCTTTTCTCCTACTGTTATTACTATCCTACGACTGAACGGACTGTGATCAAGCCACTGTAACACCAACTTGATGAGAACACTAAATTCCCATTTAAAGGAGATATAACTAAACATGTATCCGAGATTGACAGTAACACTCACCCTGAGGAAACCTAGCGTAATATCCAATCAGCTGTGGAAGCAGCAGCAAAGACTGCTGATAGCTTAAGACCAAAGGATTTAGCATATCCCAGAGGGTTTCTCCCGCTCCAGTCAAATTGATCGACGCAAGATTACTGATTCTGTGGAGGATTCGAACACGATGAAAAGAGAAAGCTGCTCAAAACGCAACCTTACCAAGTCTTGATAATGAACGTGAGAACAGTGGTAGGTGACAAAAGTGAAGGAGATGGGGAAAGGCGCCGGCGACAGAAAACTATTTTAAATTATTAGAGAAACAAGTTACACAAGGATATATAATAGGTGAGACAAACTCCGGAAAAGCGGTGTCCTAATTAGCACCAAAAACAGACAACCGGAACGTTGGAGGGAACATCTCGAGGAACGATTCAACTGACCAACAACCACGCTCATCTTGCCCGTCAACCGAGGTGCAATGGCAATGTTTTGCAGTGAAGGGAGTGTCCAGAAAGTATATTCCACCAATCAAGGCAGTCTACTCGAACTCACAAATCTGTGTTAGGGCCTGTGGAGGATTGCATATGAAGTGATTACTTTCTTACTAGGACACAGTCTTGTGTACTAGATGTGCTTTGAATTATTGATATAAGAATAAAACTTGTGCACCGAGGTATAGTGTAATTCCATCATGGGTAAATTTTGTTTTGATAGTCTCACAGTGTTATACAGTAATGTTTACTGATGACGTTTCGAGCACAATTTATTGCTCATAATCAAATCAAGAATTCGAATCTCCGTCCAACTCGAGGCTTTTCCCTTTATGTATTTGACAATGGTGGAGAATTGATTCACTAACCTATGCACTCAATTTCCAGTCAGTATGCCTCAGTTTCGTATCTCGCTTTATCGACCTCAGGTCTGGGCAACTGGATACATCATCAGCCTACAGACAATGAGTGTGACTAGTAGCCTGAAACATGAAACATATATAGCGAGAACTGAGTTCAGACAATACTATTTGACAGTCAGTTGTACCTGTTGTGTTATTAGTGACAATGGTATCCAGCTGCTTAACATTTGACAAGCTTAATAAAATCTAACTAACAACCTCAGTGAATGGATGGATTTTGGTGACTTGAACTATTCTTAGTACTTCCATAGTCATCACTGATTTTCATCAAAATTCTGTCTTACCTTCAAAGCACTTAATTCAATCAAATTAACACAAATAAACTCTACATGCAAGAATACTAAGTCAATTACCAGTATCAAAGTGGATTTACTCGTAAAACATACAATATCACCTGAAAATATGCAAGCGTTACAAAAACGCTTAAAATATGCTACACTCTGTATTACCAGTCAAAATAAATCACTGAAACATTATTATTATTATACTACTGTTATTATTCCCCTGGGTTCTCTGAGTGCGACATACGACTTCAGCAGCCCATCTACCATTTTACCTTGTTTTCTGACGTTTTCATTAGCTGGCTCCATGATTTCCGACAGATTTTCATTCCCACTTCACACCATCTCCTGCATGTTACCCTCGGAACCACGTCCAACGCATTCTTCCTTATAAGGATCCAACTCGAGGCCAGCATGGAGTATAATATCACTCAACGTTTTCCTCCGTGTAAGTCCAATCCATCTCCACTTCATTCCGCATACTCATCGGTTGGACAATAAGCCCTTGACTGTTTCGTTACCAGAGTTCCTTGATTTCTCTCCTTTCTGGCTGGCCATCTGGTCTCCACCATGGGGCAGGAGAAGGCAGCTGTTGATGAAAGTCTGCACCATCCAACTGGAAATGCTATTGGTAACGGAACATGCTTCAGAACCATAAAGTACCACTGACCCCACAACAGTGTTGATAATCTTTACCTTCTTCCTTGTAGTGAATGCAGTAGATTTACAAACTGATTTCAGATCAATCAATGTCTCTCATGCTTTTCCCACCTTGGCTGCATTTCGTATTCTCACCCGTGTCACCTGTAGTTAAAAAGATGCGGATTAGTTAGGTGAAAGAGGCAACTTCGTCCAAATTTCTCTCCTTCATGGTTAGTGATCCTTGTTGTTATTCGTTTGGTGTCTTCACCACCTCTGTCTTCTCCTTCTTCGCTTGAAGTTCAATTCTCTTCCCCTGTTGGTTCTCACCTGTAGATCTCCGAGTTTATGTGACATTACGCATAAGTCATCCGTCAAGTCCATATCTTCAAGTGTCTTCCTGCTTTCAATCTCCCAAACGCCTGGCGCACGATCTAGTCTACCATAATCAGGTATTTCATCGCTGACAGTATGCAACCTCGTCTCACTCCTCTCTTCACTCTAAAGCGGCTTCGCTGAGCTTTCCCTTGTGAACCATCACATGGCGTATGGCATCATCAAATACCTATCGCCAGTATTGTAAACTCTAAGTGTTACAAAAAATCTAACAAATAATCTCTAATGTACTGATGTCTGTCTATCTGTCTGTTTTCGACATAGAACTTTGCACAAATGTGCGGAAGTCCAAGTCGCCACACTCCGTGTAGCACGCGAAGCAAGAGAAGAAAGTACAAGAAAAGCATAACAGAAACAGTGAGCAGAGGTGTGAGACAAAGGAGTAATAAAGAAAAACAAAACAGTTTCATTGGAAATCATAAGTCACAAGGAGTGGATGCATCTGCACCAGCCACTGAGAACGATTTTGAGCCATGTCACCAATTGTTTCCAGCCATAAAGTTTTACCATCCCGAGGACCCCAACCAGGAAGTCTACACCTTCCTACGTGACTGGCTTAGACCAACTGTTGTGGATTTCATTGACTGGTGCCAAGTTTTTGTTTGACCGCCGCTAGCTTTTTTCCAGCCTAACCCTATATCCGCTAACATTGCTCGTCAAGGGAGGCGATGACTTGGCATACGTAACACATGTCCTAACCTTCTCAGTCTATATAATTTCACAACTTCGTTGATTGATTTCCCTGTTTACCTAGAACTCGACGCCAAACCTCAATGTTGCTCACCTTATTATGCCACTTTACACGGGAAATAGAGCGCATTTATCATTTTATCACAAGTGATAAATGTACTGATGGCTGTACTTAAAAGGTATGGGACAGTAATACATATGCCTACAATGCTAATGATACTTGCCACACAACAATGAATTCATCTACCAGAAGATATTATCAGTAAGTAACTTTATACACATAGACAATAATTGAAAAACACCTACCCATTGGAAAGAATCTCTTCTGATTTCATCGGTTTCACTGGACTCAATTCGGCATTTATATCTATTCAGGTGAATCGATTAGTGGCTTATACAAAAATGTCTACCTGGGGGTCTAGAGTATGGTAAGTAGTAGAATGGACCCACAAATGGCTTGAAGTCGCCATCGTTGTCCACTAAATGCTCTGCTTTGCGGAGTAATTCTACTCCAATACTATCATAACGCTTTTTCGAAGCATTTAATACCGATTTCGCCTCGGCTTTATCACCTGAAAAAGACTTAATTACTGAAGTAGTTTAGGACATACCATTCATACAATACTGATGAGCTAGGCCTACAATTAAGTGAATATTTTTCCATCCATATAGAGCACATGCATCAAGATATGGGAAACTATCTTTACCATTTCTAGGAAATTGTTAGCTGCGATAAAACAGCTTACTCGAACACATCGAGAACCACTCTTCGGAAAAAAATTATAAGGTACCTCTTATCCGTCCAGTCTATATCTAAATTCTAAGAAAGAAACAAAATATTAACGATTAACGCCGACTTACATTCACAGCGTCTTCATATACTCCTAAAAGAACTTTAGGAATATCTTCATCTATTCCCATTGACCTAACTTTCTCTTCCATTTTGTTGATGTAAGTCACCCATTGTTCGTAAGAATGAGGATCAGTAGGGTCTCAAATAATACAAAAATGAAAAATCGTGAGTTTATAACTTACAATAAGCCTTGGACACACTTGACAAAAGTTCTTCTGGATTCGTTGCCATAGTCACAAGTAACTAGAGTATTCCAACTGCATGAAGAGTAAGAAGAAAGGGAGATCGTGTCAAATAATACCAAAATTAAAAAGTGAGGCTGTAGAATTTACGGAATGCAGAATCCATGCTTTATTTTATTAGACAATCGTAAAACATACAAGGATGTATGTACTTATTTTGCAACACATCAGGATTGCAGAGAGAGAAATGATATGCGGACAAGACAGTGCCCAAGTGACACGGAGGAAAAACAAGGATATGAAGACTAGTTGAATATTGGAAACTTTGAAAGCGATACATACTGCTAAAGCCATACTCCCACCCATCACATTTTCTACTAGTTTCACATATGAGAACAAGAAAGCTACAATACGATAGTTTTGATTTCGATATAGTTTATATTTGGAAATATCTTGACCTGCAGAATTGTTTGCTCTCTTAGATCTCACTCGACAAGCCCTCATACAACAACCGATACTAATCAATCATAGTCAACTAGCTCCAGAATTCTTTAGTAGACATCAAGCATGACTCTGAAATAAACACTAGTATGATATCCAAACTACAAAAACATCCACCATCATATGACAGCCCGAGGAGTCTCCGTTTGACGTCTTTGAATATCCATCTGAGGTACTAATTTTAGCCCGACTCCACTGCTGGCGAGATAATGGACACTTCTCCCAACTCGAATTCAGGCATACTGGTCCTGGAAACATTAAAGAACACTTCCATCAGTGCCCACGAAACGATCATTTGTGTTAAAAAGGCAATTTCAGATGGAGAAAGAAAAGAACCATGTTTAAATAAATATGATAATCACCAATGTCTTCACGATCGAGACAGAATTTCTCATTTGGAAAGTGCCTCAAAATAAACCCCAACAAGTTTTTTGTAACACACAGGAACGAGAGTAGGAATAAGACAACACCACAACTAGTAGTGATAAGAGTCAGATAAGATTAAGGTTCAGTAGAAATACCTCATCATAACAGGAATAGGGTTACAATACCAGCGATTACAAAGTTGATGTGACGTATGTTATACTCTAGGCGCATGTTTTGTTAAGTGCTCAGTGCACAGATAACACTGATGAGTATTCGAAGGCTCAGGTAACGGAGGAAAATCCCAATGGATGCGGAATATGCTTCAAAATACATTTTCAGCTAAACTTCCGCTGCATACACATTAAAAAGACATCCAAGTCTAGGGTTGGGACTCGCAAAGTTCCATAACTCCATTTAGTTAGTTCATCCTTGATGCGAGAAATGCCTCGTGTTATTTAATTCACAGTAATCATTAAAAATGACGTAAGGTATTGAAGGCTTACTAATATTTATGTAAAAAGACACTATCAGGAGTTAATCACACTCCACAATGACTCGTACACCCGTTACAATTGTGACGAGCTCGTGCTAACTATACCATTCACTCCTACCCACTTCATAACTACGCCGTTCACGTTACTGGAGGACATCACAAGTAGGGTGACTGTAAACTATTGCAGTCCTAAAGGAAACTACCTAATGGACGGATTGATGACCTTGACGAATTTATGTACAGAAATCGGTTTAACCTGACTATGCGGACTCCTATGAAAAATTAAAAAGTTTCTTGGAACTTATACCAGAATATTATTTTATGTAACCACTTTTTAACATTACATTACTTGTATATGGTCGTTTACTTCAAACTACGCACTTCAGACGCATCTAATTGCTTGCTAAGGATATACCCTACGAAACCATAGTTTCGTTTTTCGGCTGCTATAGTTTAGATTCACAAAAATGACAAAAAATACGCACACCTTAATAAATAAACGTTAATTGTTCAACGATAAGAACACACATTCAAACTACAGAAATGCCTAGCCAGTAGGACTGCAGTCAGGAATTTGGCGGACTGCTAAAGGTCATCGTTTGCGTGGTGAAGAAAAACAAGCATTTTTACAACTCTGTGTACACTCAGTTGATTTTGCTGTACTCACTTCCTGGTTTTGAGATGAATGTTGCTGAGTTTTTGCAGACTTATGCGTAGTATGTCCTGCAACTCTAAGACTGTGATTGAATGAAAAGTATGAATCAATAACAATGAAACGAATGAAATGACCTTCAGATTCAGATGTTTTGGTTGAGGATAGAAGGCTTGCAGCCTATGTTAATCCTTTTCTAGTAGATTTCTGTGGTTGTCCAAACCCTTCATGAACGAATCAATTGAGGTTGCAGACACCTCTTCTTCTGGGAGTCGGTTCCAAGAGTTTATGACTCGATGTGAGAACCAGTACTCAACACCAGTATGATTTCTCCTTGGCTTTTGAACTTTCCTGCTATGTCCTCTAAGGTGTTCCGACCTGGTGGGAAGGAAAAGAGAGAATAGGTCAGGTCCGTAGTCATTATTTAAAATTTTAAACATTGTGATTAAATCTCCCCTCTGCCTACAGTATGACAGTGAGAAGAGATTTAAACTGTCTAGTCTTTCCTCGTATAATAAATTCTCCGTACCGTGAACTAAACGTGTTTATTTATTTTCAATTACAGCTAGATTCCGCATTGTATTTTTGGCACAAGTATGGAATTTTCAGCATGGGTATTGGTAGCCCAAATGTCGCAGGCCGGCCATAAATATCAGGTGTGCGTCGGCAGAGGATCAAACCTCCGACCATGTGCATGGTCGGCGAGAGTCCTAACCACTGTACCACCACTGTTGCCTTCCTTTGAACCCCTTCTAGAATGTGTGAGCCCCCTGTTAGACAAAGACTGGCAGCCTGGATACAGTTTTCTAGTCTTGACCTCACCAGACATGTAAATAAGACGGAGGTGAACATATCTCTGGGCATTCTAGTAAGGGCTCTGCGAATTATTATTACTTTTATTACTACGTCTCCATTCAATCACGCTGGATGATTGGATGGTGAATGGATAAACCTCATTCATACAATGTAAACATACCATGTACTGCAAACCACATATAACCAATCCCCTCCGCTCTCCTCTCGAAAGCAACCGAAATTGGCTGAAATTGTCCGTCACGTACAAGGTCATTGGTGGAGTGAGACGCTCAAAGGGCATTTTCGCCTATGTTAGTCGGCCATGTTGGATTGCAGTTCCGTAGCCGTTTGTTTATGCATTCGTTTTTCCGTTAATTACAACTTATCTTGATGCTCACTGTTCACAAATGTTGTTTCACCTCATTTTTGTTTCCGTTGCTGTTAAAATTAGTAATCACGTTGGTTTCGGAAGTTTTTACCATCAGGTCCTCTCCTTTTTATTCTGTATATCAATGAGTTACCTCTGCTCACCGACTCCCCTATGGTCCTATACGTAGATGACTTAAAAATTTGGAGAGAGCTGAAGGGCAACAGTGATACGTTCACGCTGCAAGAGGACCTCAACAAATTGTCGGAGTGGTCTGTTGAATGGATGCCCCCGATCAGTGTGGCAAAATGTGCAACCATGCTCATTGGACAATCAAGCACAAGCCCCTACGAATTAGAGGGAATAACACTTCCATCAGTTCAGACTCACTTGGACTTAGGTGTCATAGTTAGCCACGACTTAAAAACTACAGCACACTGTCGCGCAGCGGCTGCACGTAGTTTCAGGTCCTTATGGGCGATTCGCAGAGCCTTTACAAGAATTACCAGAGATATGTTCACCTCCTTATACACCCAGAAGAAGTGGTGTCTGCAACCTCAATTGATTCGTTCAAGAAGGGTTTGGACAACCACAGAAATCTACTGGAAAATGATCATCATAGACTCCAAGTTTTCCATCCTCAACCAATATATCTGAAATCTGAAATGTAATTAGTGGAGACTAAGTAGGCTTTATGGGAAAAACGTACAAACAAATGGACAGAAAATAGAATCCAATAATTGAAAAGTAGACGAATAAATAGCTGGAGTAGTTAGAAGAGTGAGGTAAGGAAGAATGGGCAGTGGTGAAGGGCGAGTTCATGCGATATACATTAACGGGATGCAGTATATGCGTTTAAGTGGATAGTACTCGGGTTGCCACATGATTATCCAGCAACCAATTGAAGCTTTCTACGGACGGTGAATGAACCCAAGCTATTGGCAAAGGTATCAGGGACAGACGACTACAAGCAGAAAAACATGGGATCTCACTGCAGCCTGGAGTGTTAGACACCATAAAGCTCGTAATGACTTAGTGACAAAATACCTTTGTTTGAATGATTCTGGTCACTTGCAATCATGTAGGCAGTAATTAAGACACTCCTGAGCGACAGTAGCCAGGTGGGAAAAGACGTAATTCCCTCAATCTTCCTTCCTGTGCTTCATTCCGTAAACCCGCCAATCCTTTTTTTCCTGCCTTTGGACCATTTCCGAAAGATTGGTATCCTTTTTGCGTCATGAAGAGCAATGATATTGTGGGCTTCAAGGAAGTTGATCTAAATCACAGTCATACGTTAAACAGGACAACACAGAAGGGGGGCTTAAGTTTATAAGTAGCTAAAGCCTTAGTGTGTTTCGATGCGAGTGATATATTTTGGCATGCTTTGTAACCGCATTCCATTTCAGCTCCCACGTTATGGCTAAGATAGGATGTTGCCGACTCACGAAAGGCATTGGTTTCTGCCTTGAGGCTATCCAGAGACATATCTAGATCAACAGCGGATGGTAGATGAGTTGATTTAGGAGAAGGATCATAATTCAGTAACCGTTCGGCTGGCGTCATGTTCTGTGAAGCTACCTATGTGAGATTTGGGAGGCGAGAGGTTATGAGTTCTACCGTGTTGACCGTGTGTCTATCTATTTTGGTGACTTGCGGAGTCCTGCCATTAGGTTTGGTAATCACGCCTCTCAATCACTGTTTCATCTGCTATTTGTTTGTAGCTTGTATCCTGTAATAGGATACGTTGTGAATTGACAAATTTCCTAGCCTCTGTGTGTGTTTCAAACTGAAGGCGTATAGGGAAGCAGTGGTCGTGCTGACTCTTTTTCACTCTGTGTCACTTTGGTAGTTAGTAATTTTCGCCTCCCTGAGCAAGATACTTTGAAACTTTTCAACCCCTCATTATCCAGTATATTGTTGGCAATCACAATTAGTTTGGCATCTAGACTTTTGATGGGGTCTGTTGTGATGAAGTTTATCAGGATGTCTAAGTTGGATACCGATTCTGTGTCAAATTCCTCAGAGTTCAGCTCAGGACGCGCAGGGGTGTAAGTTCGTAGGCCTGCGATTGTATGTCACTAATCTGCGTCGATAGTTCAGATATGCAAGCCAAATTTTCTGCACATCCTGCCATTATAGCCCTACTACACCTTACATCCCGCATCCAAGTTTCCATGTCTTCCGCAGGCAGCTTTACTCGTTCTATTTCTGAAGTAAGTGTCAAAGCTGGACGTGGTATCTGAAGTTTTGTGACACGCAAATAAGGTGCAGTGAGGCCTATGTTAGCGTGTTGAGAGTTGGCTGCGAACAAGCCGAAATTGTAAGCAACAATTTGCATCAGTGTTACATCTCGAATTAGCGTCATGAGAGAAACAACAACAAAGCCTAACTTTGAGGAACTCACCAACCAGTCGCAGCAGACTTAATGCGTGCAAAAAGGATTCTCAGATGTACGTCTTAACTTCCTGAGAAAGGGTCACAAACAGTATAGAATAACCTCCAGCAAGAGAAAAACTAACCAGAAGATGTTGCTTCCTCGCTGAAAATAGTGTACATAAAAATATATGAAATCTCATTTTATCATGAAGCGATAATCATAACTATAATAATGTATATTTTCATATAAACATATAAATTTACATGAAAATGCATGCCATTTTTACAGCCACGATCAAGTATGAAATGATCTCAAATCCTAGATTGTCTACAAGTTAATACTGTTTCAACAGTTAAATATTTCATATAAATATATATAAATACACTGATTGTCTGAACCAGGCCGTATAGTTATTGAATTGTACATTTGTCCTCCAGGTTGAGCGGGAAAATCGACTTCGTTTCGTTTTCATCCCGCGGTTGTCGGCATACGATAGCCAACCAATATTGAGGTAAGTACAACGTTTACAAGGGATTGAAAGCCGTTTTAGAAAAGTTAAAGTGCTAAGGTGAATCATTGAAGTGTAATAAATTAAGTAAGTCCAATATATCATTAATAAATACATTTATATAGGAAACAGAATGGGGAAGTAATTAATCCTTAGGCCGACAACGTTCATTTGCAATGTATAATAATACCCATATACTTCGTACTATCATGATGTCCACTTTCGGCTTTAATACAATTATTCTCAAGCCAGTTACTTTTTTCATACCTTCTTGTCTATTTGGTGCACAACCGTATCCAACAGAGAATGGGAATAGAATAAATCGAATCAAATTCATAAAGAGCTATAAAATGTTAGGTTTAATGGAATGTATTGATGAGGATCAAGTGAAGGTGTTATTAGAAAATGAATCTGATAAGACATTGTGAAGTTCTATTTAAAGATCAGACAATGGACAGCAAGTTGGTTTATAAGATGCCCCATAAATCTGTGCAGAGCCCCCTTGGTCACATCTCAACAATAGGCTGATTGAATGGTATATATTTAAAGGTAGAAGCATGATCTGTCCAGGCGTTCGTTATTATCTTTTTCAAGATAAAGATCTAAGCCCTCATAAAATACTTAAAATCATTAAAATATTTATGCAGCAAATGTTCTCTTACTTTGCCACGCTTGTTTCCCTTATAACACTCAATTATTGAGCCTAGTGTATTATTTGATATTGTTGGTTCTAAGTTAATATCTTTTTATAAAATGTCTAGACACGTTACTTTGCAATGTCAGATGTTTACTATATATAAGTGCACTAAGTCATGCCAACCGACCTTACCTTCAGTTCATACTACCTACATTGAACCAGCTATAGTGTTCTGCTGAATCTTGCTCCACTATTCACAAAACCT